TACCTCTTTTTTATACTGAGAGATGTAAGTAATAAAAAACAATTTGAAAGCAGATCTATTCCAGAAGTTGATTCTACCACCGAATAAATTGTTTCCATACCAAATTATTCCACCAAGTCTGGATTTTGAGTCAAAGTCAGACGCTAAAGATGCATCACTAATCATTGTAATTTGGTGACTATCATTTTGGTTTTCTCTTCTAAATATTATTGTTTGTTTTCTTGTATTATAAGTATATTATAGTAGTTTGTGTGCTGCTTCAATTACTCTTTCATGTGGGTCTAATACTAGTCTGGCTAATTTACCAACCGCGAATTCTAGGTCTAATCTACCTCTAGTACGCATATAATTCAACTTTCCCTCTATTTCCGCTAAAAATTTTACCTTTTGCTTAAGTTTTTGTTTTGTTAGATTTAATTCATCAGTCCTGGGATCAACTTTGTATTGATAAATATAGGGAACTTTTACCTTTTTGTCATCTTCTTTGATAATTTCAGGATATTCTTCCTTTAACTTTGAAATATATGATTCCATACTTAGTTCTATCAGTCCTCGCCCATAATTGCAGTTTAGATTCATCCCTAAGATATCTGTTTTTAGTATATCATTTTTTATGGTGCCTATGACTTTCAAGCTAAATTTCTTTTCCAATTATGCAATAATATCCTGCAGTTTTTCATCAGATTTTGCCGTGATCACACAATCGTCAACATATGCAGCAATAAAGTTTTCTCCATCCATTGAACTATAAAGTCTGGGCGAGAAGATTGAGTCCATTAATCCAATGGAGTTCATATATTCCTTCAATGTATCATTCAATTTCTTAGGGCTCTGTTTTAAACCACACAAAGCTTTCTTGAGTGGAGTGACCATTCTATTATCTTTTGGGTGAGTAATATATATTTCTTCTTCAATTTCAGCATATAAAAATGCATGATTAGTATCCATTGTTAACATTCTCAATTCTTTATTATTAACGATAGTTAATAGTAGTTTCAAGGAATCCATCTTTAAAATCGATCTTTCTATGTCTCCAAAGCTGTTAGGAGATCGTAAGTCCCCCTGCAAACAATATGAGACTTATAAGTCCCGTCTCGTTTGACACTGAAAATGGTGTTGATAGGCACAATTTTGTCTCTAGGAGCATCTGAACGTGGAATCCTGAGCGTGGGATCAAAGACCTTCGTTGTAATTAAGTTCTGTAACTCTTTTTCATAGGCCTCCATGTATTTAATTTTTGTTTGTAAGTTTGTATTTTTTGTAATTGCATCTTTATAATATAATGCTCTGACTTTCTGGTTCATTCGAAATAGAATATATAATTCCTTTAATAATATATACATATACTAACTCGTACTAGTCTCTACAATACCTACCAGTAAAATAAAAAGCAATACCAGCAGTTAATATTCATACCTTTATTAGATTTCTATGTAGAGACTCATAGGGTTATTTCTTTACTGAATCGTTCATAGTATTAGATTATTTATTTATTTCCAACGACATTCTTAATAAGTTGATATTGATCCAGTGTATTAAAGTATAAAATATACACATGGGAATATAGTACATATGATAAGTATCAATTAAGATCTCATCATCTCTTATATACAGTGTTGGAAAAGTTTTCAGCGTCAGTAATACTTTCGTGTAAAGTAACATTTCTTTCAACTTTATGAATAATGTTGTGATGAGTATAACTTATTCGTTACCTCATAATTCAGACAATCTATAACTTATGAGTTCACATAGTGCTCAGCAAAGGCTAAGCCCCCGTGTTAGTCCGCTCGATTTTCTATCCAAAATAAACTTCGTAGAACTCATCCTTGTTAGCTCAGTTGGTAGAGCGTTCGGCTTTTAAACAATTCCAAGTTTAAACCAAGGATACCGAAATGTCAGGGGTTCGAGCCCCCTATGAGGAGTTCTACTATTTTTTTTGCATAATCATTTGGCATCTAACTGGAACATACCTAGTGACAGTAACTGTATTATATCTATCAAATATTACATGAATGATTTTGAAATATATATACATATATATATATGTAAACATGTATATGGGAAATGGAATGCTATCTATGATTTTGTAAATAATTTTAAAAGTGTCTCCACCGTTTCTTGTATGTCTTCGAATGGTATTTCATGAATAGTGTTGTGAGATAATTTCACTAATTCTTCTCTATGTGCAAATTCTGTGGTATCGAATGTCATCTTATAAATTTTTTGAAACCCTGATTGTGTATTCGGTATTCCTCTCAATCTCAAACCACTTAATATTAATTTTGATAAAGTTTCATTAAATTTTTGTCTCTTTTCACTAATTTGTAAACTTTCCATGACTTTATTAGTCTGCACAAATACTTTTTTCTGTGATTGCATTAGAATTTTATCAATGCTACTGCTTTTCTTCTTCTCCTTACCCTCTGTTACATTTTCTGTATCAGCGTTTAAACTTGCAATCTTATTATCGAATAACTCTTTCAAGGATAAATCAATTGGAATGAACTCAACATTATGACCATTTTTATAGAAAATTAAATATCTATGTTGATAATTGTTGGCAGCTGCAGCTGCAGCTGCTGAATTGACTTCAATTACAATACCACGATTGATATATTTCAATTTCGACTCAAAAAATGCATTTGTAGTGGTGCTTGTAGTAAAACAAATCAACAAATTGCTGAAATGTTCACTACTGCGCAACCATAGAGGTATCTTATTAATATCAATATATTGTAGAAACTCACCCTTTAAATAATTAATTTCCTTAACGTTCGAGATACTGCGATCCAGTCCATTGTCATTATCACCATCCAAAGGCTTCCTCCATAATTGGATATCCCGAAGCACTATATCGCTATGCCTATCGCCCAACTTTACTTTCAACACTGCTAATTTCTCAAACATGGTGGATCAGGTCCAAATATAACCAAAACCCTTAACGGATATACCTTTATATAAATACAAATATAAGTATATATATGTCTATATAATTATATATACTCTGAGAACGCTTAAGCATGAAAAGTCATTGTATATACCAAACTGGAAACACAGATTGCAACAGTCGATACCTCTGATAACCAATTGTATTGCTACCCAAGCTATACCCTTGCATTCACAATCAAAATGTAAACATCATTGTTCTGGCTAGTTTTATACTCAAATTGCTTTTTTGTCTGCTTTTTTTCTTCTTCTTATTTGCCTTTACCTTTGTCTCGTCTGCCTGTGATGAAATTTATCTCGAAAATATCCATCCAAGCCATACACACACACATATCAAATAAACGAAAAGTTTTCAAAGTTTTGTATTAGAATCTATAAGAAAGCTATGATGGATAGGTTTATTTGTTGGTTATATTCATCTATAGAGTACTAGTTGAAGCTTGGTTTGCAGTAGGTTGAACGGTAGCTATTGGATCGGTTGGTTTTTAGTAAGATCTTTTGTTTTATCTACCTATTTTTAAGTTAGCATCCGGTTCTAATTTTATTTTGGCAAATATTATAAAGTTGTACTTGAAATTGTAATATTTTTGTCGTTATTGGTTTTAACAAAGAGTTTGATTTTGATTTTGAAAGAGGGAATACAAATTCGTTTCTTTGTTTAATAATATTTTTTTTTTTGTTTATTGGCTGGACTGATTTTACGGTATTCTCTTCTCTTTTTTTGTGATTATTACCAGTGTTTGAGATTCAAAAGTTTGAGTTTGAGATAAAACAACTCAAGGAATTTATAGGATATATTAGGAATTCATTTATTTCTATTTTACTATTGCTATGATGCCATTACCGCCATCTACTTTAAATCAAAAATCCAGTCGTGTTTACTCTGTTGCAAGAGTTTATAAAGATGAATGTGAAAAGAGATCACAAGAATACTGGGATTACGAACAAGGTGTAACGATCGACTGGGGTACTATTTCTAATTATGAAATTGTTAATAAAATCGGTCGTGGTAAATACAGTGAAGTTTTCAGTGGTAGATGTGTAACAAATAATCAAAGATGTGTTATTAAAGTTTTAAAACCGGTTAAAATGAAAAAGATATATAGAGAATTGAAAATTTTGACAAACCTGACTGGTGGGCCTAATGTAATCGGTCTTTATGATATTGTACAAGATACTGGTTCCAAAATACCTGCATTGATCTTTGAAGAAGTTAAAAATGTCGATTTTAGAACTTTATATCCATCATTTACCTTGAGTGATCTTCAATATTATTTTACACAACTATTAATTGCATTAAATTATTGTCATTCGATGGGTATTATGCATAGAGATGTCAAGCCACAAAACGTTATGATAGATCCTACCGAGCGTAAGTTAAGATTAATCGACTGGGGTTTAGCTGAATTTTATCATCCTGGTGTTGATTATAATATCCGTGTTGCTTCACGTTATCACAAAGGTCCAGAATTGTTAGTTAATTTAAATCAATATGACTACTCTTTAGATTTGTGGTCTGTTGGTTGTATGTTAGCTGCTATTATCTTCAAAAAGGAACCATTCTTCAAAGGTTCCACCAATGCTGACCAACTGGTCAAGATTGCCGCTGTTCTAGGTACCAAAGAATTATTGGAATACTTAAATAAATATGGTTTGAAATTACCATCAGAATACGATACGATAATGAGAGATTTCCCAAGAAAGCCATGGGGTCATTTTATTAAAAACGATGCTAAAAATTTGGCAGTTCCAGAAGTCATTGATTTAATTGATAATTTGTTGGTCTATGATCACCAAGAAAGATTAACTGCTACAGAAGCAATGAACCACAAATTTTTCAAGACAAAGTATGATAACTAATAATACTTAATTCAAATAGATTACAATTTTTGTATAATAATAATATTAATAATGAAAGAATACTAATAATAGTAATCATAGTAGCAATAGTAGTAATTGTAGTAGTAATAATAATATTAACTGTAACAAATATAACATAATTGCAAAAGTAAGTAAGAAAGACAGAGAGAAAGAAATAAAAATAAAAAATAATACCGTTAGTGCTATTTCAATTTAAACTTCTTTCATCTTATGTACGGATTGAATTGGTTTCAAATCGAATCGTATTCATAGTATCCATCGTATTTATTATGTAACGTTAACACTATAAAATTTTTTTCTTGTTTAAGTTATGTTGAATATAAGTTGCAGGATGCAAACTTTAACTGAATTTCTGAACTATTTAGTAATATTCGCTCCTCAACTCACTCTTTTGCAACAACTAGATCTCTCAAGACACCATCTAAAGCAATAATTATACATTATTTTTGAGCCTAAAGAGGAAATCGGTATGAAAGTAGAGGTTCAACCTGTCAGATATTTTTTTTTTTTTGACATTTTGAACTTAAGATTCGTAAAGCCTTTATGGCTTTTGAATTTAGAGGTTAATAAATAATATCGTTTAACTATAAAGATACATAAAATACTTGTCTATGTATTATGTACTGAAATGGACATTAAAAGGTGTTTGTATGAAACTTTAAAATCAATTAAAGCTTCTTAATGATGGTTAAATATTAAATGCTAAATGAATGAAGTGTGTCAGTGTAAATAGTAGAGAAGAATGAAATGGTAAAAAACATAATGTATGAAATAATAAATGGAATAAAAAAACTTGTATCAAACTAGTTCAATTTTGAGAGTATCGTTTTTCCTGACAATACATCTCATTTTGTATTCATCTTTGGTTGGTACATTTCTTGTTAATGCATTCTCAAAAATCATAAATTTTGGTTACAAATGCTAGTTTAATAATAATAATAATAATAATAATACAGGAAACTGGATTGTTTCTTTTATCTCTATCTTAAGTGAATGATGGAATGGAAAGGTGATATAATAATATAAAATTTTTTGAATATAATCAGTAACATAAACTTGAATAATATTGATTTTGTTCGGCATCATTAGAGTACTTCAAAGCATGATCTTGTTGAATCTTTAAAGCGTTGTAATGAGTACTTAAATCGTTGATGTAAGTCTGCGATTCATGACAAATGCCTCTTGAGTCTATCTCCCTTGTAAGAACATAATCGTTAAATTTTAGTGCCTTTTTAGGACAAGGTGTATTTGAAGTATGGCTACTCTCAAAAATTGAAGAACTAGTGGAAGTTCTTGAACAGATAGATGAAGAATATTCAATGGAGTAATCATCATCTGAAAAGTCATGGTTATCTATGGAATCATTTTCATGGTTTGATTTATGTGAAGCTGGGAAGATATTATGAATATGGGAAGAGATTGATTCTTTTAAATCAGGACCATATAAAACAGTCACATCGGTTTCTTTATTCCAATTAATGTCTAAAGGGTTAATCTTTAAATCATTCAAATTGTTTAAATCTATAGCCCAACGTCTCCATAAACAATGATGTAATCTTTTCATGTAGAAATTATAATCATATTCGTTTTCTATTGAACAACTTGGTAACCTTATTAAAATCTTCCTTTGGGTATTCATTTTGTGAAGTAATGACCAAGTTTGTGAAAGTTCATTATGAGAATCGAAATCATGAATAAAATAATCTAATGCAGGTTTATTGTAATTTGTGATGTTATCTAAAAGTCTTAGATTCTGTTTTGTTAAAACTGAATCATCTAAACTTTCTAGCATTTTTGTTTGTATAAATATATATTGATTTTTTTATAATTTTATAGTATTATTATATTGATCTATGGTTAATTTTTTAATTTATGCCACTTATCAAATTGAACATAAACTATTATTGATACAACCTACTGAATAATTAAATATTTCAGAATTTGGTTTGTAATATATATATATAAATATATATCTGATTTGGATATTAAATGCCTGGTATAATGTTTTGGTTTTTGGGATGGTACGCTATCTTGGATACCAAGGGTTAAAAATAATTATTAAAATTGATGGAAAGAAATATAAGAGACATCCACAAATATTATTAAAAGATAAGATTATAAATACATTTTAAATAAGAGAAAGTTAAATATTACTAAAATAAAAAATTTTCTAATCCCAGCTCTAAGGCTACTCTAGTTTAGTTTAGTCTAATTTGATTGAGCTTGATTTCCTGTAGTCAATAGAAAAGAATAAAGAAACACGACGATTAAATGTACGACAGATATTAGTTCTTCGACTTCTTTTTTCTTTTCGGTTTGGGGGATTTTAATCTAATTTAGATTAATCTATTATGGAAGGCAAAGTTCTGTCACTAGGAAACTACTAAATAGTTATTAAGAAAAAAAAACATAAATTAGATATAATCTAATTTAGGCTCAGTTATACTTTCGGTGAAAAGATATGGCGACCGAGAGAGAAAGACGCAGAGAGAGCGGTACAAACTGGTAAATTTCTTTCCGATAGTTATGGAAGAATACTATTGAATTTGATTTAGATGTTGATTTTGATTTCGAGCAATGATTGTAGTTGCGATTAGTCTTTTTTTACTAAGAATAACAGTTGGGAAACAGTACAGGAAAAAGGAATATTTAGACGTTTGACTTGGAAAAAAGGAAGGAAACACATAAGAATTGTTCTATTTCGGTTCGGCAGTCTACGGGATCGCTTGGATTGTGTGGTGGAAGAGCGAGAGAGAACCGAAGCGAGTAAAACCGAAACCGAACAGAGACAGACACTCAAAGTACGTTATAGCAGACTACGCTGGTTCGAACCTTGGAAGGAAATAAGCAAGAGTTGGGAGAGAAAAGAACAGAGAGGAAGAGAATCGGTTGGATCTGAAATGAAATGTAGCAACCAAAGAGAACGACGTAGTATGGAATACAGAATTCCGACAAAAATTGAAATTGAAATTGAAATTAAAACGAAATCAACAGTGAAAGTGAAGGTGAAGGAGAAGGTGAAAGTGAAAAAGTAAAAAGAGAGCAAAGGTAAATAAGTAACAAAAATTGTTGTTATTGTTGTCATTGTTGCTGCCAATGAGAATATCTCGAGCGAGAAAGGGAGAGAACCTCAAGAAAGAATCAAATAAGTTCAAGAGCGACAAGAGAGAAATTGAAAAGAAACGAAGGGTGCACTGCACACTAAGAAAATTCGAAATAAAAGACAGTCAATTCCGGATATTACGAGAGAACACCGTAGGAAAAGAGTGAAAGAGAATGAAATCAAGGACAATATGTCGGAAAAATACTATCAGTTGTTTAAGTACGAACGGACGTCTATGCACGGATTGACTTTCTTTCTTTTTTTCTCTTAGACTGGTACATATTTTGTTTAAGCGAAGAATAAAGACCCGAACATATCAGCAGGAGAAATGAAATACATATTAATTATCTTTTCTATTTTTTTGTATTTTGATGGTAAAAACAATCGGATATGATTGAGATGTCTTGTAATTGTTATAAATTCTTTTTATGTCTTTATCTTATTTTTTATTGATGATCGAGAGAAGCTGCCGATTCTTGAGACGATTCCCTCAGCAATATTATTGAACGAGCCGATTCGACTGAGAAATTGGAAAGAGTACTCAACACAATCAATAAAAAAAAAAAAGATACCAGGCAGAGTGAAGTTTCTTGCAGAGAGAGAAACAGATATATATTTCTTGTTGAGTAATTTTTTTAGCAGAGGAGGACAAATCAGATCAAATAGAGTAGGAACGAAAGTAAAAGAAAAGCCAGAGAGTGACAACGTCAAATACATGAAATCAAAGAAAAAGAACCCAATCCATAATTTAAAAATCGGAGAATTATACTAATCAGGAAACCATTGACAAATATACGTAGAGATGGAAAGGTGTATTAAGGATGATAGCAAAAAGTGCTAGAATAAGTTTGTACTAAATGTTTTCTGTCGCAGTTTAAATTAATCCTGTTAAACATGACAACCACAACAAAAAGGAATTCTAAAAAATTTCCCTTTTTTATACGTATGGTTGGAATCACTGAGAAATATACTTAGAAAGGGAAAGAAGCGTGTGTTTTCTGTTTTCTGCGTCTGCTTAACCCCTGTCCTACTACCTATTCTTCCTGCCGCATAACGGAGAGGTATACAGGCCTTAGCCAGTCGTTGTCCCGAAATGGAAGGAAATGAGTTAGAGAGAGGGGGCAAGTAGAACCAATCCGTGGCTAAGCTCATAATTTGTTGTTTTCTATTACTATGATAAGTTTTTAGAAGAAAACAAGCTTGCCTGGTTGCCATGTACGATAGAATTAACGGGGGGAGGGGCGATCGTGAAATCAAGAAGAATATTGCATACGACCGTTCCTCAAGTTTTGATTGAGTTGGATGGAATAAATAAAAGGATGGTTCAACCTGACATCACTGCGAAAAATCACAACTAAGCTTTCAACCAGGCTTTTCCTACGATATTGTACAGGGAGCAAGAGATGAATAGCTGTTGTTGTCGTTGTTGAGATTGTTGCTTTTTTGCTCTGTATAAAATATTTCTAATTTCTGATTTCCATTTCTTCGTTCAATAATCGGAGGGACAGGGGCCGTAATGACGAGCAATTATTCCGAGAAGATTACTGCTACGGCAGTAATATGTCTTATTAGTGTATGAGTAATTCGGATTAACTTGTTGCATGAATCAATATTGAGGTCAAAGTGGTAATGGTGACATCACGATTTTAAAAATTAAATTTATGATTATTATTATTATTTTTTCATAACCTCTTTATTATTTAATTAAGATTTATGGCATTGATATTATGACGTACTTTTTCTCATTGTTTCAATTTGGTTTTATTGTTTGTTTCTTGTTTTATTTATTTTGAAGCTGCAATCAAACTCTGTAAATAGAGAGTGTATTAATTTTTCTGTTTGTTTTTTTTGGTCGATTTTATTTCTTGGTTAGATAAGTCGTATTTGATTTTTCTGCTTCAAAGGCTGGATTTCATCAGATTATTGGTAACACAGACACAGTCATGTACTTCTAATTTTAACAATATGTACTGTACTATATAGGTAATATTTCAAGGAAAAACAGAGAATAACCGGATTTATACTTTGTTTTCTTTTTTAAGTTGGATAGGAAGATTATTATAGTTTGCACTGGTCAGCATCTGACTTGTCTCTCTTATGTCTCTTTTCTCTAAAAGAGCAAGCATAAAATCAGAATTACGATTATAATTTCTTTAACTTTTATTTTTTTCTTTATTTTTCTGGAAAAGAGCAAATTTAACTTTTTTTATTTGCCTTGCCACTGCTGTACTCGTCTACGTAATACGTAATACGTAATACGTGATTAGTGATAGATACGGTTTAAGCTACCGATACACAGCAGTACAATACACAAATATCATAAACTTCGCCAGTTCTGACTTGTCTCTCTTCCCCTTTCCTTGGCTACCCCTCCCCCTCCGGCTCTCCTCCGCATCAAAATCGTCGTATTGATTAGTCCGACGGACCGGTTTGGCTGTCAATGAAAGGTATTTTAATTATTTTCTGTCGTTCAAAAGTCTATTATGTTAAGGTACGTATGCAGTGAGATGTTGTTGGTACGTTGGGAGAGGTGACAACCGCTGTGCAATAAGTGTTTTCCATGACATTAATGTTTTCTTTCTGACGACAGTGACGTAAATCAATATAGTCTTGTTGTTTAAAATTTATGTTTTCAATTAATAATATAATCGACAAGTTCAACCGAGTATTTTCTTTACAAAGAACACACAAGTAAAACTAAACATCAATTTACGTTTGGGTACAAAATAGTTAAATACGTTACTGAAACATGATAAACAGCGAAACGGTTTTCACAAGTGTGTTTTACACGTTGAGTTTCTAACCTTTAGGATCAGTAACAGTGCACTGTCAACTTTACTTTTTCTGTTAGTTACTGTGTCGCAACCCATATCTACTATACTAATATCCACAAAATAATAAAGTCAACTTTTCCGTGCATCATTACTTCAAAAAAAAAGACAACATCTCTCTTGTCATGTGACAAGAGCTTGCTTCCTCACAGTAGTTACCCTCCTGTATCACCTGACCTCCTCCCCCGCACCGCTAGCAACGAGCACCATAACCGATCCAACCGTCGTCGTCGTCGTCTTTCGCATTCCGTCCAATCCTGCCTTGGAATTTCCAAACAAAAACAAAAAACAGAAGCCAGTTGCAAATTCCACCACTTGCTACTGGCTCGTCAAACACGACAACAACAACTGTCCATCCATCACCGTCCTTCTCTCCCTCTCTCTCTTCCCTCCCCCCTGCCAAATTCGCCTTCGCTTCTCTGCGATTTCCTCCCTAAACACCAAACCAAACCAAACCAAACCGATATCACTCGGACCGACAGCAAAGACACAGACAAAAACACAGACCTGTGCTGTAGTCTCTGCTAAAACCCGTTAAATTACATTTTTTTATTCCTGCGCTGTGGTTGGCTGATCGAATCGGCTTTACCCAGACCACACCAGAAACAACATACTAACACAACACAACCTCTTCTCTGTGCCCGGTTCTCTCTCCCAGAGACACATCCCATCGTCTCGAAACTACTTGGTCCTATCCTATCCCAACGCTAAGCTAAACTAAGCTAAACTAAGCTAAACTAAGCTCAATTTTTTGCAAAATTTTTTTAGTTTCAAGACATCAATCGAATTAAGACCAACACACATACAGACAAACTATCTCTCTCTTTCGCTGTCCTATCGCATCCCAGCCTATCTTGATTTCATAAGATCTCTCTCTTTCACTTCAACTTTTTCACTTTGAAACCTTTATTCTATCATTCAATCCACTCTCTCCTACCTGTTCAATTGTTCTAAACTGATTGATTGATTGATAGATTGATAGATTGATTAATTCTAAACTACTTTTTAACATCTGCTTTTCTTAATCTTCCCTCCCCCCTTCTCTCTCTTCCTTCTAATTCAAATTCAAGTTCAACTTCTTTTAAATCCTTTAACTATCACTTTCTTTGATCACTTTTGGTTCAAGAGAAAACTATCGTTATTACGCTTCACTCAATACAATATTCAGGTTTTATTGGAAAAACTTATAAGCAATCAATAATATCTATATATTCATCCATTTGACTGAAATATTGCTTAACTGTTACAAAAAGGAATAAATTGTGTATCTGTCCCCATCAATCAACAACAACAATTGAATCGCAGTTACCACTATTTAACCTTTACTATTTATTTATTAAATCCAATATCTTCGAAATTTTAATCCATTTTTCATAACTTCTAAAATAATATTCCCATCACTTCTTTTTTCCCTTCACCCCTCCTCCTCCAACATCAATTAGAATAAGAATTACTATAAAAATGTTTTCACAATTTACAAAACGTTTAGCTACAAAGAACTTTGCCAATAAACTATCTTCAAAATTGGTAGTCGGTGGTGTCGCTACAGCAGGTTTGACCTCTTCTGCTTTGCTATACGCTGACTCTTTAACTGCCAATGCCTTGACTGCTGCTGAACATGGTTTACATGCTCCTGCTTTCGATTGGTCTCACAATGGTCCTTTCGAAACTTTCGACCATGCTTCAATTAGAAGAGGTTACCAAGTCTATAGAGAAGTCTGTGCCGCTTGTCATTCCCTAGACAGAGTTGCCTGGAGAACTATGATCGGTGTAGCATTCACAAACCAAGAAGTACGTGACATGGCTGCCGAATTCGAATACGATGATGAACCTGATGAACAAGGTAACCCAAGAAAGAGACCAGGTAAGATCGCTGACTACATCCAAGCTCCTTACGAAAATGAACAAGCTGCAAGAGCCGCAAACCAAGGTGCTTTACCTCCAGATTTATCATTGATCGTTAAAGCTAGACACGGTGCTGCAGACTACATCTTCGCCTTATTAACTGGTTATCCTGATGATCCTCCAGCTGGTGTCGTCTTACCAGAAGGTGCCAACTACAACCCTTACTTCCCAGGTGGTTCAATTGCTATGGCTAGAGTCTTATTCGATGAATTAGTCGAATACGAAGACGGTACCCCTGCTACTACCTCTCAAATGGCTAAGGATGTTACTACTTTCTTGAACTGGTGTGCTGAACCAGAACACGATGAAAGAAAGAGATTAGGTTTAAAGACCATTACCATCTTATCTACTTTGTTCCTATTATCCGTATGGATCAAGAAATTCAAGTGGGCTGGTATCAAGACCAGACAATTCAAATTCAACCCACCAAAGACTTCTGGTAAGAAATAAATTTAATTGATTCGATTTGTTGAAGTTCTCCGATAAAAGTGTGTACCCAAATGAATAATCTTTCTACCCCATTTTAATTGTCTTCTTTCCTTTATTCAGTGATAATTTCTTCTCGAAAGTAGAAAAATCAATTTGAAAACCTGTATTTTATGCCAATTGATTTTGATGCATACTTATAAAGATCTAACCAAAATTAATAACGCTATAGGCACTTTCAAAATGGAACATTATGTATCATTTACTCATCAAGAATTCAATGGAAAAAGACATAATAAAAACTCAAAGCATTACTCGTTTTTTACTACACTTTATCTCGTCACTCCATTTTAACTTCTTCACCAATCGTTACTCAATTTTTTTAAGAAACTTTCCTCTGTTTTGTTTTTTTTATTATTCTTACATTTTCATATTCATTCATAAATTTTTGAACAATGAGGAGTTTTGTGAATATTAAAAGCTAATTACAATTCCTCAATCAATCAAGTAAATACAATATTGCAATGAAAATAAAAATTCCTCACAAATCTCACCTTTCATCAATTTGACAAGAGAGTATAATTTATTTTATCTTACTGTTTATACCTTTAAATATTTTTTATATTATTTATATTTATATTATTTATTTAACAGCAATACTTATATTAAATCTATTATTAAACAATGACTTAAGAATTGCATATTCACTAAAGACTCTCACACTCATGCAATCTCAATTCAAAGTGTCTCATTTCCCATTTCTACTAAAAATCACTAAACTTTCATAATTTAAAGGATATCTCTTAGTAATTAATTATTAAATGTATCAAATTTCGAATCAACAACACGAATCAAAAAAAAAAAAAGAATTGTGAAAAATTTAAAGGAAAAAGGAAAAAATTTTCACGATTTTAAGGTATAATGGACTATTCTCTCCTTCTTTATTCAATCAACAGTAGTACTTCTAAGGGATGATGTTATTAAAATCATCAATACCGTTTAAGGGGGAGTTAGTTGTTCAATTTGTAAACTGTATAAAAGGGGATCAGAACATATGTGAAACTTTTTTGAGAAAGACACAATCAATTGATCTGGCTTCATCTTCATTTCTATCTTGTTCTTGTAATTACAATTAAAATAGAATAAAATAAAATTAACAATTTGGTTCAATTGAAAGTTAACTTTTTTGATCAAGTAAGATATATTAATAATTAATTGATAATTCTGCTTTTAAGGTTTTCTGCTAGCCAATTTTATTATACAACTCAACACAACACAATTACATAAATTTTTTATATTTAATATCCAAAAATGTCAAAGCAATGGGCTCAATCTGGTACTGGTGAGTTCAAAAGACAAGTTTCTTCTTTTAGAGAAACTATTTCTGCTACTCACCCAATTTACAAACCTGCAAAGGGTAGATACTGGTTGTATGTTTCTTTGGCTTGTCCATGGGCTCATAGAACCATTATTACTAGAGCCTTGAAAGGTTTAACATCTGTAATTGGTGTCAGTGTTGTTCATTGGCATTTAGATGAAAAGGGATGGAGATTCTTACCAGCTGATTCCATCTCTGGTAAAGATACTACTGATCATTTCTCTTTCAGTGGTGGTATCAAAGGTAGTGAATTGGATGTTTCTCATCCTTCTGGTGATATCCCAAGTGATAGTAAAAGATTGAATATCGATGCTAATGTTGAACCAAACTGTGGTTTTAACAGACTACGTGAATTCTATTTGAAGAGTAACCCAGATTACAGTGCTAGATTTACTGTTCCAGTCTTATGGGATTTGGAAACTAAGACTATTGTTAACAATGAAAGTGCTGACATCATTAGAATTTTGAACAGTGGTGTCTTTGACGAATTTGTTGAAGACAAAGAATACTTAGCAAACAAACGTGAATTGGTTCCAAAGCAATTGGAAGCTGAAATTGATGATTTCAACACTTGGGTTTATGACGGTATTAACAATGGTGTTTACAAGGCTGGTTTCTCTGAAAACCAAGCAGTCTATGAACGTGAGGTCACCAATGTTTTCAACAACTTGGATAAGGTTGAAGCCATCTTGAAAAAGAAACACAGTGATTTAGAATCCAAACATGGTAAAGGTAATGAAAAAGCTATTTTATCAGAATACTTTACAGTTGGTAATCAATTGACAGAAGCTGATGTTAGATTTTACACTACTATTGTAAGATTTGATCCAGTCTATGTTCAACACTTCAAGTGTAACTTCAACACTATCAGAGATGGTTACCCATTCATTCATTTGTGGTTAAGAAACTTATACTGGAATTATGATGCTTTCAAGTTAACTACCAATTTTGATCATATTAAATTACATTACACTCGTTCTCACCCAAGAATTAACCCATTAGGTTTAACTCCATTGGGTCCAAAACCAGATATCATGAATTTATAAACAAATGTATATTTTATACTTTTAGGGCTTTTATTTAAGGATAAATAATTTCCAACTTATGTTAATAAACTATATTCAAAATTTCAAGTACTATTGGCAAGTATTTTTTTTTCTTATTTAATACAATGAAATTATATTTACCAAGCAAGGAATGAATATATAATAATGAATATAAATTGGGAAACTCTCATCAATAGTGAATCGAACTGTTCTATTCAAACAAAAAGAAGTACAATTACGATTAAACCATTTTATGTACCATTGATTTAAGGGAATTTTTATTTTGATAATGTATACAATTCTTAAATGCTATTGGAATAAATAAGGGATCAGTGGATTTTGAGGTTTTGAATACACGCCAGAGCCAAAACAAGCCAAAATTAATATCAAGGTTTACTAATAATTCTCTGCATTGTATTGTTTGTATGTGTACGTTATAACGTATTTTGGTTCTAGGCAAATTATAAATACTAGGTCAAAATGGTAGGTATTTCGTCCCTATAAGAGAAGGCAATTTCTTGAAATAAGATACTGTTTCTCAAGAAGTAACTTTATTTTATCTTGATTCAGTTCAAAGACAAACAATCAACTAGGCATTTGGAATTCTATTCTTAATATCAGAAACATGAATTTAATAAAAAATAGTAAATTATATAAATATTTTTATGAAGCACCAGAGGAGGACACTGCCAAAAGTGGTCAATTTATTGATAGAACCACACACTTTAGGGAAATCATTTCTCCTTCACACCCTATCTACAAACCTGAAGAAGGAAGGTACTGGTTGTATGCTTCGTTAGCCTGCCCATGGGCTCACAGAACACTGATCACTCGTGCACTAAAGGGATTAAACAAAGTAATTGGAGTCAGTATAGTGCATTGGTATATGGATGAAAGAGGTTGGAAATTTATTCCTGTAAATCCAGATTTTCCTATGGATCCAGATGATTCATTCCGAATCGACGGTGGTGTAAAAACTACAGGAAACGACATATCTACACCAACTGGAGATATATCGAACAATAGAAACTTATTAAACGTTGATGGTACATATGATAGGAATTACGACTTTGAAAGTCTAAGTGAATTGTATCTATTGAGTGACCCTTCATACAATGGTAAATATACGGTACCAGTACTATGGGACCTAAAAACCAAAACGATAGTAAATAATGAGAGTGCTGACATAATCCGGATATTAAATAGTGGTGTGTTCAACGAGTTTATTGATTTTGACACAGAGTGTTTACATCATAAAATTATCGATGTTTACCCCAAGCCATTGAGACAAGAAATCGATAAATTTAACGAATGGGTGTTGGAGTATATCAACGAAGGTGTGTATAAAGTTGGATTTGCGGAAGACCAAGAAGAATACGAAAAACACGTGAAGAACCTTTTCGAGCATCTAGATAAAGTAGAAGACTTATTAGAAAAAAAATATGATCTATTGTCTCAAGTTCATAATGATCAGCAGTCCATATTAAAAGAGTTTTACACAGTGGGGAGCCAATTAACCGAAGCTGACATCAGATTGTACACTACAATGGTAAGGTTTGATCCAGTTTATGTCCAACATTTCAAATGTAATCTAAGAACAATAAGAGATGGATATCCATTTATCGACTTGTGGTTACGTAATTTATATTGGAATCATGGTGAATTTCGCAATACCACAAATTTCAACCATTTGAAATTATCGTATACTAGAGGACAGCCAAGTATAAATCCATTGGGAATAACAGCATTAGGACCGATGCCAGATATTCCACAAATTCAATAAATAATTCTACATAGTTAACTATTAAATTACAATAAAATATACTTGATTGAGATACACTCCTGTTTCACCAGGAACTATTTGCTGACGCTGACATATTTGGCACCAAAATTATGTCGGTGTGTACTAGAAAAACGAACTTTTACCCGATTGGGAACAAATTGAACAATATACTTCTCTTTACCTTATCGGGTTAAAGAACTTTTCAAAAATTTTTTTAAATTTTATTCTTTTTTAATGAAAAAAGCAGTGCTTTTTACCCAATTAGGTAAACCTATTTTTTCGAAATGGTCTTATCTACGCGTTTTCTTGACGCGTCGTTAAAAAAACCCCAAATCATAGACATTTGTTTCTTTTTCCCAAGTATAGTCCCCGTAGAACACCAAAACAAAATGAAAAGAACAAGAGCAAAAAAAAAAACAACCGAAAATTGGCATTGTCGCGTAAAAAATGGAGAGAAACTCCCGTACAACATCGGCCTTTTTTCTTCGAAATGGCCCTAAAACCAAAAACCAGAACCAGAAAGAAAAAGAAACAACAAAAACAGATAACCCAGCCAAATTGCAATGAGTATCTTTGCTTCCTATTCTCTCTTCTCCTGGTGTGACTGTTGGAATAGAATAGAAATATTGAAACTTGACAATATCAGTCCTCCATAATGTCCAATAAGGTAATTTAGATACATCTCTCTCTCTTTCTCCATCTGTCACTCACAATTACAATTCTAGATAATTAAATCTGTAGCTGCAGTAAGCATACAGACACTCAATTTGCTATGTTGGTCAGGTATTAACAAGAAATCTAACAACCAGATTTGATAACTTTTGTTTCAAAGTAGTATCCTGGATTAATAGGTGGATTGATCGATGAATATTGATTAGTTTCAGATTTCATAATCTAATCTAATCTAATTTAATTTAATTTTAGTTGTTGCTGTTCCTGTTGCTGTTGTTGAAGTTGAAGTTGAATTTTAACCACTTATCCTTTTATATATTACACTCATCTCTTTCTTTCTCTTTCTTTATCTCTTTTTATAACATTCAACTAGGATTAAATAGATAGAGAGATCGATAGCACAGTAGAAGGTATATAATCCTAATCTTTATTTGAATCTACCTAGCTCAGCTTGAAGGATTGATTTGTTACTGAGATCTCGAATTGGCTGCTATAACTACTCTTTATGTGTATGTGTGTGTGAGCAACACTGATATATCCAAAAATTAACAGAACATATACATCACAATTGAAAGAATTTCAGAGAAAGTAATAATGCAAGCAGCTATTGCCATGGAGAAACCAACAAGAAAGAGAGGTAGACCTCCAATTACAAAAGAATACCCAAATCCTTTACAAAGTCCAATGGCTCATTCTTCAATGCAAGTGCAAAAACAAGGTCTAACTGGTCAAAATTTTTCAAAACCACTAATGAAAGTTGGTCAAATGACACCTTCACCAAAGAAAAGAAGATCAGGCAGTACTACTGGTAGTAGTGTCAATCATATAGCCTCTGGAGGTTGCTCAAGGAAAGGTAGATACAGAGGTGTTATTTTATCAACTCCACCAAAAAAATCTATATCAACCCCATCAAGTATCAATATTAACAATAGTATACTTTCAAAAAGTGAAATGTCTCCATTACCAACTCCTTCTTCAATCAATGATACTATCTTCTCTTCAAATTCAAAATTAAATTTCTTGCGGTCTTCTCCTCCAATGCCTTCATCCCCATTTAATTCTATCAAACATGGATTACAATTAGAGAAACCAATTGCCAAAAGCACAGTTTCACCATTACAGAATTTTAGATTTAGCTTGAATATTAACGAAAATGGTAGAGCAACAATTGCTAGACCAGGAGAAACTATACAGATTGAAGGTATTCCAAATATTTCCTCAGATGAATTGAATAGTTCCACTTTAAACTTTCCATTGGAATCCCCATCTTTGAATTGCAAATCTGAGAATGATAAATTAATCAAAAACAATGATAATGTTCAGTTAGAGAAAAATTATGTCATCTCAATGTTAAGACAGATGAGAACTGATATAAATAAAGGTAAATCTAATAATCTTGAAAATACATTAGAAGAGGAGAGAAAAGTTGTTAACGAATTGGAATCAAAATTAGAAGATTCAATCGCCAATGATAAAAATAATAAGAAGTTGCCAATAATCGTCAAAACTTCTCCTACACATGATGAAGATTTAAAAGATGATGACAGAAACGCCAAATTTAACACGGATTCCTTAAAACACCATCCTAACACAAATTCTTTGTTACCACCATCTACTCCAAAGACAACTTTTCATCTAACAACAGGTTTCACTCCAATTGCTATTGATCAAATTTTATTAGATGAAACAATAATTGCCACTCCAAGAAGAATTTTAGGTGCTTCGTTTGATTCAAATAATGAAAATAATTTTGCGTTGTCACCAAAATCAAAATTACTACCAAAATCAGGTCAAACAATTCTATCACATTCACATCAACAGGAATTTGTATTTAAACTTTCAAGTGGTGATCCATTATTACTTACTGATCATGCCGAAGTAAGCTGGAATGATAACATCAACACTGCATCTTTAACTACATCTCCAAGAAGACAGTTGTGTTTCAATACTCCGCCATCATGGGTCAACTTTGGTTCCCCAAAGGCTTTCAGTCCGCAAAGACTTGATACAAATGCTGTATTAATATCCAATGGGCAGTCATTAGGTGTAACCCAACCTGAACTTTCACCATCTAAAAAATCAAGTATAGCGAATTTTCCCATGATTAATATCAATTCATCACCGCCAAGAATAGCTTCTGCTTCCTCATTATCACATATCGAACTTCTTTCATCCACAGTAAAGAGAAGAAGAAGTTCTTTATCAGTTCTGTCCACTTTGGCTGCAAGTAATCTAAATCTTCTATCAAGTCCTGGAAATAATATTTCAGCAAAAGCTCTGATAGAACCTACAACTCCAAAAAATGCCCAGGAATTCCAATCCTCAGTAATTGAATGCACTCCATTAATTCAACAAACCATGAATGGATCATTAACCGCCAAATTTATTCCAGGTACTATCCCGGCTGATAATAACAACAACGATATCAGAAGCAACATCAACAGTGACGTCGTTAATAATAATAGTATTAATAACAATAATAACGGCAATAATAGTAATCATAGAAATAGTAATAGTAATAATAACAACCAACCTACGGTAGGAACAATCAACGAATCATCAACAGTTTCATCGTCTTTAGAACAAGATGATGCAAGAACTGCATTGAAAAGATTGATGAGTGAGCGTTAACCATTTTTGCATCATATATATGAACTCATTGAAGATTCTTCTATAAATTTAATAATATTATTCCACTCATATATTTATATACAAAAATTTATTTTATAATTTCTTATCTAATATCTAAAAAACAATTTATTGAATAATCACCTTTGATTAAAGCTATTATATTGTCATTCAGATTGATATTCTGACGTTTTAGGTAGTTCTTTAGAGTCCTTTACTTTAATGCTCTCTTTGCTCGGTACGAACAGTACAAGGAAATATTTAAAATTAAGATGTATATAAAAAACTATAAGATGAAAAAAGACATACAGAAACATTGCATACTTCAAAAGAGTTGTAGATAAGGAAAGGGATAAGGTCAAAAGAATCTGATAGAAGGCTACTATTAAGATGAATTTTGATGATGATTTAAGTGCTCCTGTATGGGATGAATTGAATACTGAAGATAGAAAACTTCACACTGAGTTGAGTGGTACTTTTGCAAAATTATCAACGAACGATGAGCCTTCACAATTTGAAAGCACTAATCTTGTAGATATTCAAGTTACAGACGCTAATTTGGATGTTAATGATGAACCAAAGAGTGATATCCAACCGGTACACACTTCGGAGTCCACTAGAAGTATCGAGGTTGATGCAAAGGTTGATGACAGTTCACAGGAGGAAGAAAATGATCAGAACAAAAAAGAAGACAACAAGAGGTTAATGTCTATTTTAGCTCCTGATAATGATCTATTAAATAGCTCTGTTTCATCACTATCCAAACCCGCTGTGAAAACTGCAGCTGATCCCCTATTCGATGGGAATGTGTATTCTCCTTTGAAATTCAATGAAGAAGATATTTTAACTAAAGCCAACGATGTAGATGATTCTAAAGGTACAGGAAAGGTACAATTTGCTCCAAAGGTTTTATTTAATTCTGCTAGGTTACGTCGTCGTCCAGTTAATGATACAAATGAAAAATCTATGCAAATGAAACCAACTGATGGAACAGACCCATTGTCGAAATTTGAAAAATTGAATGAATTTGTAGATGAATCTATAGAAGACGAAACACAGCTCAATAAGAGAATTGCAAAAAGTGACATTTTGAAGGAAATTGAAAAACCATTATTTGATTTATCTCAGGTAAAAAGACCAGATATCACTGAGGTGACTGGGATTTCAAATGGTAAAGAAGCCCTTCAATCAAGGCCAAATGATGAAAATGACCAAATGTTAGATGTAAACATAGAAGAAACAAAATTAGTAAAATATGAAATTGAAGTCAAGGATCCAATTAAAGTTGGTGACTTAACTTCACTTCACGTAGAGTATACCGTTTCTACAAAAATCGATGACCCGAATTCAACAGTTTCCCAAGTCAATAGGAGATATACCGATTTTAGATGGCTATATAGACAATTACAAAGTAATCACTGGGGTAGAATAATTCCTCCACCACCAGAAAAGCAGGCTGTTGGGAGATTCAAACAAGATTTCATGGAAAATCGTAGATTCCAAATGGAAAGAATGTTAATTAAAATTTCAAAGGATCCAATATTGCAAAGAGATCAAGATTTCTTAATGTTTTTGACAAGTCCAAGTTTCATGATGGATTCTAAAACAAGAGAACATTACACTGGCTCACAAGCATCTAATGACAGTAATGATCTCTCTGAAATTCATATAAGCGATATAGAGCTATTAGGTGCAGAGGACGCAGCAGACGCAGATAAAAATGGAGGTATAGATGGTCAAAAGAATAGAAGTTTCATGAGTCTTTCATTTTCATCTCCTCCAAAATACGAAGAGAGTGACGAATTTTTCTTAGATCAATATCAAGCATTAGAAATCCTAGAAGAACAATTGAAACAGCTTTATAAATCATTAGAATTAATCGATTCAGAGAGATCATCTCTAACTTTTGTAACTGAAGAATTTGCTAATTCAATTGATATCCTCGCAAAATTAGAAGTAACTAAAACTAGTGCTGACATTTTGACAAATTTCGCAGAAACTCATAGAAAAATTAAAGAAGGATTGGAAAGAGTCTCTTCCCAAGAATCATTAACACTAGGTATTACTTTAGATGAATACATAAGATCATTGGCAAGTGTCCGCGCAATTTTCAACCAACGTGCAAAATTAGGTTATTATTTAGTTGCAGTAAGAGAGAACTATTCAAAAGCTGATACACAATTAAATAAATTGAAATCCAATTCTTCATCATCCAATAATATTGATAAACTAAACATTGCATCAGAACAAAAAGAGAAATTACAAAAAAGATATTTAATAGTAAAATCTAAATGGGAACAAATCGGAGAAAAGATTAAGAGAGAGTTCATTAATTTTGAAACCGACAAGGTCAAGGAATTTAGAAATAGCATTGAAATATTTTTAGAATCTTCAATTGAAGCCCAAAAAGAATGTATTGAACTTTGGGAAACATTTTATCAAAATAATATGTAGATGCTTATATTAGGAGTTACATATTAATTGTAGATATTGATTTATACAGGTACATACTTTAAGGTATAGTCATAGGACGATACTATACAACAGTTATTTATCGACGACATCTTCTTGCTTTTCTTCATGCTTTTCTTCTTCTTCTTCAGATATAAATATTTTCTTTAAAATTGGGAAATATTTTTGTTGTTCACCTATTCTGTCATAATCTACAATCATACCATCAAATGCGAAACAATATTCCTTTGCAAGGATTAGTTTATTATTATCAATCTGGGGTAATTTAGGGTATCTCTGTGAGAAATGAGTTAAGATCAATTTATTTGCCTCCATTGAATTCGAAACTTCAATTGCTTCATCAATGGTACAGTGTCTTTTCAGTATCGCATCTTCAATCAATTCGTTATCTAAAGTTGCTTCGTGAATCAACAGATCAGATTTATAGCCTATATCTTGTGCAAATGACTTGATATTAGGTCTTGTATCACCTGAATAAGAAACTTTAAAGGTATTATTTGAAGGATTCGAATTAGTATAAAAGGTAATAGTATTTGAATATGCCCAATTACAGTGTTTTGCACGACATGTTTGGAAACTTTTAATCTTTAAATCTTGATACATTGTATTAATTGCCTTTAAATCTCTATAGGAAGAATCCTCAACAAATGAAAGCTTTTGCTTTTTCTTAGCTGGTAATTTCAACATACTATCAAATTCTTCAATTGTGATAGGCTGAATTTCTCTTCTTACAAAATTACCAGAAACCAAGTGTTCACCACTTATATATCTAATCCTCTCTAAAATTTCTGGTTTTTCAAGGTTTAACCATTCATGAATAAATTTATTATATTGCCATGGTGTAACCAAGTAAATTATAGCATCTTTGTCCTCTTGATTATATTTATACCATTCTTCCAAAATGCTAATTATCCCAAGATGGTGGTCAGCATGAAGATGACTTAGATATATCATTTTTAAGTCCTTAAATAACTTTTTGCAATCTATCGATGAAAACATTCTTAAAATAGTACCTAATGTGTTTTCACCTGCATCTAATAATACACAGCGGTTTTCTATACTATTATCTTTGTTAATGTAAGGAACTTTGATCAGTGTAGAAACTACATTTCTATATTTAGATGGCAATGCACTCCCTGTACCTAATGTTACAATCTCAACTCTTCTTGACTTTTCAATAGTATTGTTGTAGTTATTAGTATTAATTTGACTATTCACCACATCATCAACAGATCCAATTTCATCACTAAATGGTTTCAAAAATTGATCATAATATTTCTTCCAATCTACTATATCAGAGTTTTTATTAGTGATTTTATATCTTAAATCATTACTATCTTTTGTGAATGGGTCTAATTTTAAAATTGTATTTTGTCTATATACATGAACATTTTTGCCATCTATCGTGGATGTCAATGGTTCTTCTTGTTGTTGTATCACTGATACGTCACTTGGCAGATTTTTATTAAAACAGTCAAAAAATTCTTTTGAATATATTCTATCCGTTCTTGGTAAATTATAATTATCTACCTGTAGCGATTTTAACTTCAATAAAGTTATAGCAGACCCTTTGAACGTAACAGTGTTAGGAGATATCAATGAATGAGAAACAATATGTTGAATTGAATCTGGGAAAATTTCCATAAATTCGATAAGTTCTTTTCCAATGGTGATATCTTCATCAAGGAAATAATAGATTACAGATAGGTCTTCAAAATCATAATTTTTGAATTTCTCTTTAAAATGAGGAATATAGTTGTCATTAGGAATGTCAAGTATTAAAACTTTTGAAACATTTCTTTCCTTTTCTAAAACTTGTTCAGGTAATATTACTGTGCCGTCTTCTAGTGTAATAGATTCACCATTTGCCAATTTTGAGAATAAAGGACCCTTTGGTATACCAAGATTTATAGCTTCTTTAACTTTAAATTTACCTCTTATTGGATGAAACGATATTTCATAACTTTGAGTTGAATTGTATGTATAAGATAAATTTGGCAATGATACATTTAAATGAGGATCAGTAGAGGGATCAAATTTTGAAATCGGTGATTTTTTAGGAAACATACTTGATGCAATTGAATTTATTACTGATTTTAGTTCTTTTGTAAAAATATTATCAGAATTTTTTCCCTCTGTCTCATTTTCCTTTGTAACTGTAATGGATTTAACGATGATTGATTTATCCTGATATAACTCTTGGTCCTGAATCACATTGGTTGTGAGATCTATACCAAATCTAAATACGTAATATCTCCATGTTGAAATAATGAAATTAATAATGGGACTATTATAATGCAATTTTAATTTATCTCTACCTTGATCAGCTAGAGTTAAGATCATACCAGGTAAACCACCAAATGAATTCCATTTTAATTCACCAGTAAGGAAAATATTCTCTAATTTTGAAATTCTTATTTTATTTTCAGTAATTGATCTTTGAGAACCTTCTGGTATTTTCCCAAAGAAATACTTATTACCATTTTCTGTTGTTAATAAAAGCAAAGGATGTTTAGTGTCATTAGTAGGATGTGTTATTGGTGAAAACGTGAACATCGCAGGTGATTTTAACTTTTTTTTCCTATTCAATGCTGTATTATTTAAAAATTTCTTATTCTTTGCAAGCTGAATAGTTGAAGTATGAAATGAATGTAAAGAAATACAGCTTGTATAAGAAGATGGAAATTTTATCTTATTAATTGGCAACAACTTGAAATAATTATAAAGAAATACTAACTATTATTATTACTATTACTATTATTCTTATTTTTTGTTGGCAAGAGAGAGGTTCTTTCCCTTTTCCCAAAGATATTATAGTATAAATTTGCCTTTAAAGGTTGCTAAATGGCCATGAATCAATCTTGTTCTACCTTTGTTCTAAGCTACCCTTTTAAAATGAATAACGCTGGAATATCAAACCAACAAAAACTGAATCACACTAAAGGCAGCTTTCCCACACTTGAATATCCTATCGACAACAAAACCAATCCTTAAACGCATCTGATATGTTTAACTATTGTTATCCATTTAAACTTGTTCGAAAATTTTTGAAAAGTTTCAGCGATGAGCTGTTTCTGAAAAGGGTAAAAAGTTAAATTTTGGAATTAGACAGTTTCGAAATTTGATTTGACAATACGTCATTATTGAAATGGTCAAGTGATCATCAACTTATCGAAGGGTAATCACTTAGAAAAGTTGCAATATGTGATATAACAAGTAAACCAGACTTATAGTATTAGTTAGTTGAATCATATAATAGAAATTTATAACAGCAGAGACATCTGAATTTGTCCACATGCCTATATTATAACCGGGGGAGGGGGAGTGTTGAGTATTGCAATTCAAATTATTGAAATAAGAAGGAGTCCTTCTAGTATGCCACGTGATTAAGAGTGACCAGAGTGAAGAAATAGCAATAGTTGCTATTATATAGTCTTGTCCTTGGCCTTGCTCTTTGTTCTACTTTTGCTCTTGTAAGAAGTCAAAAAACTCGGATGGTTCTCTTCTTTCTTAACAGCCATCAAATCCTTCCTTCAGTCTGACTCTGTTTGAAAATATCAAGGTTTAAAGAGTTATCACTAACCAACTAAACCATCAATACTTGATGGAAATAGGAATTCAGTTGGACTTCTAATTTCAAATCGACTTGAATCAAATCAAGTTATTCTATGTCTTATTACCATATCGGGTTGTAGTTTGATTAATTAATATTGTAATACAGAGTTAGTAGAATCAATTTAATTTATGCAAGAGTAAGAGTAAATGGTAATGTGAATGTAAAGGTTAACGAGTTTCTTTACCCTTTCATGTATATATAAAGCTTGGGATTGATTTTTTTAAACAAAATAAAATGAATCTTTGTAGTATGTTATATATTACAGTAATATTATAACTTATATAACTTTAATTCTATATACAAATACCTATCATTAACGTATTACAGATCATTGTTAAAAGGTTATAGATTAAATTTATACAAAATACTAGCATGTCATCATCTGCTTTAAAACCTGGTTCAACTATCTTAGCTTCTACTGTTGCCAACAACTTTGGTGAAGAGATTATCAAGAAAGTAGATTCTTTGAAAAGTTCATTACCAAATGGGCCATTATTAGTTGGATTCTTAGCTAATAATGATCCTGCTGCTGAAATGTATGCTACTTGGACTAAAAAAAGTTGCGAATCAATGGGTTTTAGATATGAATTACGCAGGGTCGAAGATAGAGATTTCTTAGAAGAAGCAATTATCGAAGCAAATAGAGATGACTCCGTCAATGGGATAATGGTTTATTATCCAGTTTTTGGTAATGCTCAAGACCAATATTTACAACAAGTCGTATCAAGAGAAAAAGATGTCGAAGGTTTAAACCATGTTTATTATCAGAATTTATATCACAATATCAGATTTTTGGATTCAAATAATGAATTGAAATCAATTTTACCTTGTACTCCTTTAGCTGTTGTTAAGATAATGGAGTACTTAAAAATTTACAATACTCTATTACCAGAAGGTAATAGACTTTATGGTAGAAAATGTGTCGTTATAAATAGATCAGAAATTGTCGGTAGACCATTAGCTGCATTATTAGCAAATGACGGTGCTACTGTTTACTCTGTCGACGTTAATAATATTCAAAAATTCACCAGAGGTGAAGGTTTGAAATTTACTAAGCATCACGTAGAAGATTTAGGTCCTTATTCTGAAGATCTATTAAAAAAATGTTGCCAAGATTCCGATGTAATAATTACTGGTGTCCCAAGTGAATCTTATAAAATCCCAACCGAATATATCAAAGATGGTACTTCCTGCATTAATTTCTCATCATTTAGAAACTTTGATGATTCTGTTAAAACTAAGGCTTCATTATATGTGCCAATGACAGGCAAAGTCACAATCGTTATGCTTCTGAGAAATATGCTAAGATTGATTGAAAATAACCAAAAACTACACGGCAAATAAATTTAAGTGTCATGACCAAGAACTAATTGAACCAAGTTCTAACTATAACGTACCCTAAAGATTACTTATCACAAATGATATTCTTTTCAGGTGATAACTATATCTTCTGAGAAGATAATAAGAAAAATAACCATTAGGATGTTCTGATAATGATCCAATATAATAAATATATAATTAATATAAATTAAAATAAAATGTAATGCATCAAAAACAACTTTCAACCGTAATACACAGTACGTGTGTTGCCCTTTTGAAGTGTCAGGTTCTTCATCATTGATGTTTCTATTGAAATATCCAATATCACGTGCTAAATTCTATAAGCTTTAAAATTTTTCCAAAAAATATCAAAAACTGCGATGAGATGAGATGAGATGAATTCAAAGCACTACTTTAGACTGTTATGAATATAATTAGTAAGGTACATATATATACTTGATCAATCATTTTGGTTTACTTTACATGGTAAAGATCGAACCAAGTTTCTTTCGAACAATTATTAGAAGAGGTGTAACTGTGTCATATATAAATCATAAAGATGACAGTCAGCTCAGCTTCAAAGCATGTAAAATTCGATGAAGGTCTTGAAGACCTTCCACATTTAGCATCTCAAAATACAACTGATATGCCAGTTGACAAATATGCTGATATTAGTGAAAGTGATAGTGATGACGACGTTCCTGAAGAAGAAGGTGTTTCTTCTGCTAAAAATGATGCTGAAATTGCTATGAAGATTAGAGAAGATGCATTGAATTTGGAACAAAAAATGTTAAAAGAGAAGAGAAGAAAGCAGAATGAAATATTTAAAAAACAAAAAGAAGAAAAACATAAAAGAAATCTAGATACAAGGGATGATGTGACTGAAAAGAATGAATTAGAAGAGATGCCAACCGAATTTTTCGATAAGCTTAAGGAATCTAACGCAGATAATGAACAGATCAAGGCAATGCCAAAACATATTAATTTTAATGATATAGAGATTGATGATAAATATATACCTGAAGTTCAGGCTCAATTAAAAAAGAAGAAAAAGAACTCTCTAAAAAAATTAAGAGCTTCTTCAAAGAAAAAGGGCCCTGTTACAGTATCTGTTTTATCAGATATTTCTGTCTCCAATACTATGGCACCAAAGAAGGAGATTAAAGTCACAAGTACTAAAGATAGGTGGCTGAAAAGGAAGTCTTTAAACAGAAAGAAATAGGGTTCATACATACAACAACACTCTTTACATCTACACACTAAGCATATTTCATCCATGGGTAACAGATGTTTTAATATAGCAAACGGATACCTAAAATAAAACAATATGGTTTAGATTTAAACAAGGTCAAAATTATATTTCAGTCAGGCAAGATAATATTAACTTTTAAAGGACCAAAATGATTTAGATCTATCATCATAAAAAAAAGTCACAACTTAAAAATATTAGTTATTAAGTAAAATCATATAGCAATGTAATATTGGATTAAATACAAAAAAATGTCATAAAATGCAAAAATAGTTCTTCTGTTATTATGCTTAAACTGTCCAAAGCAGTTGATCATCAGTCAGCTTCTGCCATAATCTTCTTGACAGGTGTTAATGATGTTCTTCTCCTGTTTTTCTCACTTGAAACTCTGCGATTTGTTCTCCCTGCATTCTTACGAGCTCTTAGTTCTCTGTTATTAACCTTCTTAGGTGAGATATCATCATTATCAGACTCTGATACAAAAACACTATCTAGCTCATCTGTAGTTTCCACATATTTAAATTTTGTAGCTGTGATATTTGTTTTCTCATAAGAGTCTTTCACAACTCCGAACTCTATAGAGTGTAATGTGCTAATCTTGGCTAAACTTGGGGAGGGAACAACTATATGATTTCCTTCCCCAGTTAGAGAGGAGGAATCACTATCATCGAATAGCTTTCTACTTTGTACCATTACTGGATTTGGGTCCTTTGGGACTAATAATTGTCCGGTACTTCCCTTTTTATATATTGATGGTCGAACTACGGAATGTCTGTGAGGATATCTGGATACCCTTGAAGATGGTGATGAGGCAGAAAATGAAAATGAATGTGACATATTTCTTGTATTGGTAGATAGATCAGTCGAACGTCTGTTTCTTCTTGTGTTGTTAGATAGAGCATACGTTGAAAACATAACTTTTGAATTAGAAGCTCTCTTATAATGACTGGCATTTTCACGCAACAACAAAAGTGAATTTGATGATTCCGCTTCCAATAGGTTATCATCTAGTACATTTGATATAGGATTATCATCCGTATTATCTTCGACTCTTTGTTGCGACGATTTAATCAAACCTACTGGCATTTCTGCAAATTGTAACGGATTCTTGATTGATGCTGAAACTATAATCTTACCTTTCAAGTATGTAATTGCTTTGTCTAGCTCAAGTTCTTGACCACAATGATTCTGGATAATACAAACCTTTGGCCATGTTGCTCTGGCACCATTTGTCGTTTCTCTCAGCAAAAATTCCGTTGATGGGTTAATTAGAATTTCATTCATTCGTAATAACATTTTCATATCTGGTAGGATAGTTATATCACCGGAATATTGTTGAGAAAGTACAGATCTAAATTTTGTTAAAACATTTTTGGCAATACCTAGTTCACTGCCCATTTCTAACATGTGTATCAATTCATTGGATAAAAAGCTGTAAATACTTGAAATATTCTGCTTGAACCTTGCACTAAATTCATCTTCAATGTCACCACCCACACAAGAAAGCGCAAATTTTAAGAATGGAAAGACGTGTGGATTCACCTGACAAGCAATGATATGATCAACATTAAACATTTCTGAAAGTCTTGAAATAGGCAAATCGTTATCGACAGAGCCATCTACAAATTTCACTGAACTACTACCATTCCATTCTCTTGTTTCTCCAGTTCTTGGATCCTTCTCGTAAAGATTTGTAGAAGGAAAGATACCTGGTAACGAGCATGATGCACATACAGCCGACCAAATTAGAACATTTGGAGCTGTTAAGTTATTCAATAGCCTTGGTTGTTCGAATAGAGATGCTGGCGATACGGTAATGTTTAAAATTTTACCAGTTCTATTGTAAGCTTCCCTGAATGTCAGATCTCCTAGAAACATAATCATGGTATTTACTAAATGCTGATTGTCAAACCAAGTCCCGCTTTTAAACGATCTTGAAATTTTAATCAATAAATTCTCACTGTCGCTTTTCTGACTATCATCTTTAAAAATATTAAACTCACTTTCTAACACACGTTCTAATAATTCTGGAATTTCATCTTTATGATGGACTGAAAGGATACTTGCGATTATAGCACCAGCACTACTACCACTAATAACCCTAGGTAATAAATCCAATTCAAAAAGAGTTGCTAGGACACCTATATGGAATAAACCAAAAGTACCACCACCGCTTAAGACCAATGCCGTTCTCCCTATATTTCTTCTAGTTTGTTGTAGGATACCTAATAAATAGCTATCATCTAATTCGGATTGATTTAATAAAACCTCTATACATAATCTTGATTCTTCAATATAATCATCTATGATATATTTTGTTCCAACGTGCGATCTTCTATATAGGTTTACATTTCCCATGCCACCTAAATTTCTAACCCAGTTAGTTCTAATTAAATACAACAACTGATAATAATCCTCATCCAATCTTGATTGCCGTAACTTTTCTGTTAAACCCTTGATAAGTTTATAATCGTATAAATTCGAGTCAGCTCTTTGTTTCCATTGATTTTTATTAGTTAGACCATCTAATCTTAAACCTGCAGCTTTCCATTCTTCAAAAGACATTGCATGTTGTTTTTCAGATAGTACTCTTTCAATTAATAAATCTCTTTCATAATCACCAGCAAATAAGCTATGTAAGAAATTTTTACATTTTGGAATAAAAGATCCATTATCTTTTTCTTCAGAAGCATTCTTCGAGTCGTTTTCTTGGTCATTATTAAGAGCAGTATCAGAAGAAGTGTCATCTAAACTTTTACTTTTATCTCCTCCAACTTTTGTACTTCCAGATTGACTAGAGACCTCATTTGAATCTGAATTCGATTTACTTTGTTTAGTGTCTATCGAGGTTTCTCTAGCACCTGCCTTAGTATTATTTTTTAAACTTGAAGAAGAATTTGAATAGTCACTACCTCTACTAGAGATGTGCTCCTTATAGGCACTGCCTAAAATATGTTCGTAATATTTCTCTATGAGATGTTGAGTAACATGGTAGTTTTGGATATCAACAGCCATTTTTATTTTCCTCTTGTATCTGTCAATTTCAGTTTCAATTTCAATACTGATATTGATATTGGTATTAATATCAATCCTTTGCTTTATTAATTATATATATGTAGGATGTATTGATCGTTTAAACTAATCATCGAATAACCGTCGGTCGTGTTTACTGGAAAAAGACACTACCAATATTAGACACTTTATTTTATATATTTCAAAAACTTTAGCTACATTCCTAGTTCCCTTTAAATCAGAATAAGAATTAGAATTAGAGTTAGAAACAGAATTAAAGTAAATTGGGTGATGTTCCCCAAGTACTTCTATCCCATCAAGTCTTGATTCTATTCAACTACTGTTGATCCGGCTGATTCCTCGATGCATAGAGAGATGTTGGTTGGTGTTGATGATAATTTTTCAGAAAGGTTTGCTAACCGAAAAGGGAAATTTGTTGTTGTCGAGATGAAGCCATGTGATTCTGCGGTTGGCGAAGAAGGGAGGGGAGGAATGGGGGATGGGACAGAAGGGGAGGGGCAGACAGGACGCGTACAGGAATAGAGAAGAAAGAGAAGCAACAGAAGAAAAAAGAAATGAGAAAAAAGAAAGAAGAAGAAAATGAAAAAGAAACGGAGGATCAAATTAGGGAAATCCTAGATCACGTGATAGTATAGCTATCACGTGGTGCATTTGTAATTGTGAATGGTAATGGTAAGGTTATCTATATCTTATATATCTTATATACTATAAATTTATATAAGAGACAACACATTGTGCCATAAATAATTGGCACGTCTAACTTAAAGAATTGAAGTTTAGTCCTCAATGTCACTTGTATATGGGTTAATTCTAAGTTATGCATAATTGCTTTGTTTCTTATATGATAATGTTTGTTATTTTCTTTTATACAGTACACACTACAAAATTGATGACAGTTGAATCAATACTATACTGCCTTGCAATTTTGTCTTTTCTCTATATATGTTACTTTTAATCTAAAATTAATTGTTTTACAGTACACCAGTAATGTCATTGTGTTTTGCTTTTGTTTTATTCTTTTATTTTATTATTAGGTTATTACACTTTGGTTTGATTTAATGTTTATCATTTGATATTAATCTCTCTTTTATAATATTTTTTCGGTTTTCTTTACTCTGAAAGATTAATCAGTGAATTTGTAAGAACCTGATGCAAGGGTAATGGAACCACCTCTGTAGGAACCTCTCTTCATCTTGTTTTTGTTCTTGGTGAAATCTTTACCTCTAACTCTGGATAACCTGTCATTGGCCATCTCACCCCATGTACCTGCAGCACCTTTATAAGTATTATCGGTTAATTCCCATGCTTCAAAGGAAATCTTCTTTCTTTCAACTCTAGAAAAATGCTTTCTTTGTCCTTCTTTCAATTCGTCAGTACCTGCAGAAATGTCCAGTTTCTCTCTATCTGGTTGTGCTTCTAATGATTCAGTTCTAGATGCTACACTATCGCTGCTATTATCGGAATCCATTTTGGCTTTCTTATTATCATTGGATTCTTCTTTATCTTCTTCTCTGGTTCTTTTCTTGTCATTGGTTTCTTCTTCAGATTCAGATTCAGAGCTGCTAGAATCGGAGTCAGAGCTAGAAGAACCTGATGAACTAGATGAGTCCGAATCACTGGAACTAGACGAATCGGAATCACTAGAACTTGAAGAATCGGAATCACTAGAGCTTGAAGAATCAGAATCACTGGAGCTTGAAGAATCAGAATCGCTAGAGCTTGAAGAATCAGAATCACTTGAACTAGATGAGTCGGAATCGCTGGAACTTGAAGAATCGGAATCGCTAGAACTTGAAGAATCAGAATCACTTGAACTATCACTAGAGCTATCACTAGAACTATCACTAGAGCTATCGCTAGAGCTTTCACTAGAGCTAGAGTCACTGGAAGAGCTGTCGCTAGAACTGGATTCGCTGGACTGAGGATCCGATTTTTTAGCAGTTTCTTCAACCTTTGGTTCAGCCTTGGTTTCAGCCTTGGTTTCAGTCTCTTCTTCATCTTCAGAACTAGAACTTGAGCTAGAGCTAGATTCACTTGATGATTCATCACTGGAACTAGATCCAGATTCACTTGAACTTGAACTGGAACTGGAACTTGATTCGGTATCAGATTCAGAACCACTTTCATCACTCGAAGAAGAAGAGGATGACGAGGAGGAAGATGAAGAGGAAGAGGAAGAGGAAGTAGCTAATTCTTCTTCTCTCTTTACCTTCTCACTCAATTTTGGTGGTTTTTCATCCTTTGCACTAACTTTAGACTTCTTAGTAGATCCCATATTTTCTTGATATACTACTTTCTTGAACAATATACTACAAATAGAAGCCAAATTAATTAAGAACTAAGTCCAATCAACTCCTAGCAACATCTAATTAATTACTTTATAACTACTTAAATTATAACAACTGTAAACTGTTTTGCGATGAGCTTTCGAAAAGTTTTTCAACCGTCAAAATTTTTCTTTTTCGCTTTGGTTTCCCAGAACTACATACAAGAATAATCTGATGAAGTGGGTGATAGAGACTTAAGTGCACAATCCAATATGATGGATGTGATACAAGATTACTCTTAATAAATTATTTTATTACTATATAATAACACAATATCATTAAACAATGATTATTTAAAATAAATGAAAGTAAACCATTTTGTAATTTTATAAAACTGTAAAAACTATGGTTTTAATTTCAACCGATGCACCCATTAATTTGTATATAATTTTTTTTATTATTATTCTCTGAACTTTTTGTTAAAGATTTAAAGCTAAACTATTATTTTCTTTTTGATTATAGTTTTAAATTATTGATTTCGTCAATGACAAGAGTTTCTGTAGAATCAATTTTATTTTGAATATTTATTTTAAAATTGCTTGAAAATTCAATGATTTCAATAACTTTTTTATTTAACGAAGCTCTTTGTCTATCAATTTCTAGTTGTGATTCTTCATGTTTTAATTTTGTTGATTTGATTAGTTGCTCAGCTTCCGATAATTTTTCCTTCGTTATTCTATTGGAATCATTGATTTTTCTTTCTATTTTTTCAATCTCGATTTCTTGTGACAATAATTTTGAATCGCTTTCTTGTTTATTCAATTCATATTCAGAATTTACTTCAGATAACTGTAATTCAATTTTTTCAATAGTTCTATTCTTATCCATTACTTCTTCCTTTAACGATATTAGTTGATGTTCTAATTCTCCATTATTTTTTTCAATTTCCCTTATACGTTCAATTATTTCATTATTCAAAGAATTAATATTTGCTTTAATAGTACTTCCAATAGTGAAATTATTATCAAATAAAGTCTCATTAGTAATTGACATATCCCCATTTATTGAGAGATTCTTTGGTAACTCAATGACAAACAATGGTCTATTAATTTTATGATCCAATCTTGATCTTTCATTGATTAAATTATCCAGGGATAAGTTATATTGTCTCAATGTATCCAATAGTGCCTTATATATCCCTTCTAATTCAATTTTCAAAGTTTTGATTGAACTTACCAACTTATCCATCTTATCAGAATTTGAATCCAGGGATTTAGTCAAATTTTCTTTCTCTTGATTTTTATTTTCAATTTCATCAATTGATATATTTCTATTACTCAAAGTTTCGTTTAGCTTTTCGATATCTGCTCCAATCTGCTCGATCTCCGAATGTTTTGTTACTGATTCGGATTTCATTTTATCTAATTTAATTGGCCATTCGATGCTTTTATTTTCCATAATATTAACATAATTTTGAAATTTTATTAAATCATTCTGTAATGCATTAAATTTTTCCCTTGATAATTTAAGTTGTTCGAAATTTTTAGCTAATTCATTACATTTAATCGAGAATTTTTCATTTAAATTATCTAAATTTTTAATGTCTGCTTGGAAAATATTTTCTAACTTTACGAATTCTTGATATAATTCGTCTTTAATGGGTTTAAAATTTTCATTACCTTTTAAATAATTCTTATAACAATCTGTGATATAATTAATGCAAAGTTGCTCTATCATGACCTCATATTTATCCTGTTTTTTATCTTGATCTTCTTGATTTTGTACTGGGTAATTCAAAATTGTAACATCTTGAGTGTTTTGATTTAACAATGATTGATCTACCCTATTCAAAGATCTATCTAATTTAATATTAATTTTTACTAGCCAATGTAACATTCCTAGAAATTTATGCCAACTATTACCACCAACAGCAGAAATTTGTGATTTATTAATGGTCTCTAAATAAGGGTATTGTAAAGTTCTCAATAATTGATAAACCTCCTGTTCTATTGATTTTGTAAATTGATAGCCGGGATCTAGCCTGCTATATAACCACTTGAACATATATATGAATCCCTTTTGAGTAGGTTGTTTTAACGATTTGATTGTGATTGGATAATTGACCTCTATATCGAATTTGTTCTGTATTAAATAGTCATAAATCTCTTGTTGAATAGCATTTTGGAAATTTTTATCTCTCAGTGGTCTTGGATCTCTATTTGCGATATTTGGAGTTGGATTTGAATTAACGTTTGCATTTGTTGAATAAGGGATCATCGAATGTCTTTGTGATAATTGTGAATTCCCCATTATATTTTTATCATTGATAGAGTTAGAATAGTCCGCACCTGACACAGTAGTTCTAAATTTTTTCCTTGAATTATCCAAATTATTATATTTCGACGACAAATTATTTTTAACTATACTTTTGTTAATCATGTCGGTCAAACCCATATTATTAGAGAGACTAGATCTTCTTTTAAGATTTGAGTTTGTCGATGACGACGGCACAGGAATTTGTGACGTAAACATCTGTGGATTAAGACTATTCAAAACATGATTATGGGCAGGTCCTCCACCACTTGCACCTGCACTTGTACTTGCACCACCATGGTTTATATCCTTTTTAAACATGAATACTTTAACAGATGATGTTAAAACGGATTTCTTCCCTAGATCCTGCAGTACTTAAGAGAAGCGAACCAAAAAACACACACTACACAACACTATACAACTGTCTAAATCCTTTCAACAATACAATAGCACCCACAGAACACGATTTCAAATCCCGAATTACAAACTTTCCCAGGACCAGGATCAGTTCAAATTAACACAGTTGATATTTTTTGGATATAGATGAGCCTTCGAATAATTGATCTTTCCTACACGAAACAATTTTTGAAGTAGCCTTTATATAGTTAAAGGAATAGAATTAATACCAACGGCACAACAGTAAACAATTGGGTTGCACCTTCTCAGACACCAGAATAAGTATACAGCACCTATATCTACCAGTCCTAAATATCAGTTTTCTGTGTATTATTAGTTCATTGCTTCATATGTTTATATATTTATATATTTACTTTACTGCTTTGTAGTTGGCGTTGTTTTCGAATGTTCGGAATTTGATCTCTCACGAGAATTACACTGTTAGCTATGACGTAGATAGTGATGCGACACCAAAAGATGAATAGTATCGTTGTATGGACATAAGATAAGAGTACCACTGACCACAGCATCAGCAACAGCAAAAGATTCATACTACAATTTTTAGAAATCGCAGATAGAGTGTTACATTGTGCCATTAACTTGTGCTTTATAACCAAACCATGTCCCCTTCCCCCACTGCAACGTAACGTGACATAACATTGACATCATGTTAAACGACTACATATTTGTTCTCTCAGCGTTCTTTTCGTAACACATGATTTTGAAATTTCAATGAAAAATTATTTAACAAGAAGAGGACAAGACATCACAAGATAGTTATTTCAATAGCACATCTCTACGACCTAAAGGTCCAATTGTCATTTTGGAATAGCATTCTGAAAGTCCAATACTTATCTGGTGTGTGGTTCAATTTTTCAGAAGACAAAAAAATATTTGGTAAAACGGGAAGTTCTGAAGACTTAACTGGAAAACACATTTAAATTTACCTATACAAACATTTGCACAATGTCTTGGAACGATGATGATGTCTTTGCAGGTTCTGCAAACAACGACGATGTTGTCTTAATGGACTCATGGGATGCTGAAGAACCAATTATGGAATCTTGGGATGCTGAAGAGACCCCTGCCAAGAAGGAAACTTCCCCAAAACCTGATTCTAAGAAAAATGCAAAGAAAGACAGTAAAAAGGACAAAAAGAGTTCTACTGATCAAGTCTTGTTGGAAATTGATGTCTTGGATGAAAAGACCCGTAAGGAATTGTTGAAAAAGGCAGAATTGGAATCAGATTTGAACAATGCTGCAGAATTATTCGGTTCTTTGGGCGTCGCCGAAGAACATCCAAGAGCTAGAGCTTTGAGAAAAGAACAAGAAGTAGCAGATGCCATGAGACCTGCTGCTTTCACTAAAGATACCCCAATTGAAAGCCACCCTCTTTTCAACGGTGAAAGTAAGAAAGATTACCAAGATTTAAGAAAGGCTTTGGCTACCGCTATTGTCACAATGAATGAAAAGTCTTCTTTGAACTACTCTTCTTCTTTGGCTATCGATTTGATCAGAGACGTTGCCAAGCCAATGTCTATCGAATCTATTAGACAATCCATAGCTACTCTAAACGTTTTGATGAAAGATAAAGAAAGAGAAGAAAGAAGAGCTCGTTTGGCTAAAGTTAAAGGTGGTACAGCTACTGGTGGTGCTGGTAAGAAAAAGGCAAAGGCTAAGACTAACTTGGGTGGTGCTTTCAAGAAAGATCAAGAATTCGACATGGGAGTTGATACCTATGAGGATTTTGGCGACGATGACTTCATGTAATCTGCCCTGTATTAAATAAAGTTTTTGAAAATAAAACATCATAAAAATTATAAAAGAAATCATAATAATATTAATTCATACAAGATAATAACAACTTTGATTAGACCAATATAGGTTTGTGTCATTCATCTTTGAATCTATTGAACCCTTATACAACTGCTTCATTGAATTTTGAAGTTATATAGTGTTATATAATACGTTCTAAATGTGGTCATTGAATAGATTATTATCAGATCTTAGTAGTTTAAATATTATTCGGAATTTGTAGTCTTAAATATTATAAAGCAATATATAAACGGATTACGAGCTTGATTTTTAAACAAATGTAACTGATCCAATATTTGTGTGGCTACCTTAGAGGCTCGGATTGTTAGGGTGCAATTTGAATTATCATCTATATATAGAATCAAGATATTTCAGATAAATTCCTAATAAATTAATATTGCTTTAAGAATGATTTGAATTTAACAAAATTTATCTTTTCTACTATGACATTTTTAAACTTTGTTCTTCTTTAACACTTTTAGAGACTAAATTTAAAATTAGTTAAAAAAGACTATAAATATGTATCTAGCTAAAAAATTATTAATGTTACACTTTTTGGAAAACCTTCAGAGACGTCTAGTTAGAAATAACCTTTTAAGAATCATAGTGAATATCTCAAAAAGTCATTTCAAACTTATTCTTGCTAGCGCAAGAGTAATTGCCCAACATCCCTTCAGTTATCAAATAATTATAAAATACGGTTATTTAAAACATGGATTTCTTATCAAGCTTAGATATCAATATTAAACCATTTAATGTTGAAAGTTCTTTTGATTTATCCTTTTCCTTAATATACAATAAATAGGTAGTGATCTCGTCCTTGCGAGCGTAACCTTCCCATAACCAATCAGTCTATTTCCTCGATTTCCATTTCACCAGTAACTACAATCTCACTTACCACCTCACCTCCATCGATTTCATCATCCAAAACCAGTGGATTACATTCATCGTTGGAGAATGGCTTAATGTTCGATAAACTGGCGTCACTTTCTGTTAACTCCACTAATGAATTATACCTTGATACAAATCTAGGACGTACCGCAATCTGAACATTCAAATGATCAGGAATCCCATTTTCTCCACGCTCAATAGATCTTTCCCTTAAAATTTCAAATATTGAAAGAATATCATTGAAAGTGATCTTTTCATTATAAATATTATCTTCACATAGTGTCAGTTCGAGACAAGGAATCTCCATCATCAATTCCTTAGTAACGAAATGTAATTTTCCATAATAGTTTTCCATAAATTCACGTAAAACTTTCATCAAAGTACCGCAGTTCTGATGTAACATAGATTCATCTTCGCATACAATAGCAGCCAACTCTGCCTCTGGCTCATCTGAATTGAACAATAAAAACCTAGTTCCTTCATACAAAATCACGATAGTCGGTATTTTCTTCTTTAGCAATGCTTTAGCTGCTTCTTTAATCTGATCCTCAATTGATATTTGAACTTCAGTATTGTCATTACCTCCCTTAGCATCATTGTTTTCTGCCTCAGTGGACTTCTCTTCTAGCTTCGGTTTCTTTAATACAGAATCATCCAACGAAACACAAACATCATCATCTAACGTAACACACACACCATCATCATCAACAAGATCCTTCGACTCACTTTTACTAGCCATTTCTATAGTTAGTTCTCTTGTTATGGTCGTCCTTACCTTACCCTTAGTATATATTCATCTCATATATTTATTATGGGATTTCTTATAGTATGGAGCCATGATACCTTGATTACTTAGAATGTTACCCTCCTTTTGAAAATACTGTGTTAGAGCAGTACGCTACCAAAATGGGCAATCACCTGGGTTTTAAATAGCCCCATTCAACTACAACGACCAAAAACGACCATACTGGCTCATTAAGGGCATTACAAAGTGCTGTTTTAGTAACACCATCTGTTTAAACAATTTCCATATATATCCAGTGCCGGAACCCTTCCTTTTGGGGCCCTTCTTGAAAGACGTTAACCAATTCCAGAACCCTTCATCATGAATCCGAATGGTATAAATATAACTGATCTAAAATAGATTCTATATGCAACGATATCAATTAAATTAACTAAAATCCTATCAGAACCCCCTCTGCCACCATCTCTTCTCAACTAATACCAGTAAAGCTATGCAATAAGAGAAGAATGGATGAACTTATCTCTAAAACTATTCCCATAGCTAGGTAAAAATAAAGGTTTGATCAGTTAAATAGGTATTAGATTATTAGCTAGATATCAATCGACTAAATGAATTCAGTTTAATTGGAACTCTTTCATCCCCAAATATGGTGTCTTTTATATATTATAGCTTGGCCATTGCTATTCTTCTGGATCAAACATCACAATATACGGTATAAAGATACATATTCCTCCATTTAGATCTATAATAAATATAAAACAAGATTAAGATATTAAAAGTGGCAAACTCAATATAGAGATGAAACGTTTTATGATCATATGGAGATCAAACCAGAGTTATCAACTATGAATCGTGGGTCTCTTTTTGTTTTAGGGAGCGATGATGATACCGGTAGTGAATGTGTGGCAGACGAGTTGAATTTTGGAGAGAGTATCTATATCAATGGCTGACTCGAAGTTGGAAATTTAAAATGTTCTTACTTTGAAGACGCTAAAATACCCTTTTATAAGAAGTTATTTAACTGGAGATTAATGACTTTAACTAACAAACTTAACTATATGAGGTGATTTTGGATTCAAAGATCGTGTTGATGTTAATAATGCTGTCAATAACAACAATTGGTTTAGTGCGGGTAACAGAAATAGCCGCCCATCCTTTAAAGTTGGAATAACGTATAATCAATGTGAAGGAGAGGATGACGACTATAATGGCTATGTTGGTTCTGATTATGGCTCAGATAGCTATGCCAGATATGAAGATTGTGATACAACAACACACACGTATAACTCAACAATTCAAGAAGGATCTTCTGTATCACTGGCAGGCAACAATAAGCTTGTCCGTAAGAAAAGAAAGATAACTGTCAGAAAAAAGGCAAGTTCTAATATTGTACAATATGAGAAAGATTATGTTCCTACTAGTGTACTTCCAGACAAGTTCAAGGATGTTTTCAAATTTTCGAAATTTAATAAAATGCAGTCGGAAGCATTCCGGTACATATATGACACTGATGAGAATTGTGTGATAAGTTCTCCAACTGGTTCAGGAAAGACTGTACTGTTTGAGTTGGCGATCTTGCGTCTTTTGAGAGATAATAATTACAGTGCAGATAACATTAAAATTTTATATATTGCCCCTACAAAATCCTTATGCTATGAACAATCCAAGAATTGGTCTTCAAAGTTTTTGAACCTTTCAGTAGGAATGTTAACAAGTGATACCTCGTATTCAGAAACTGATAAAGTTAGAAATGCGAATATAATAATCACGACTCCTGAGAAGTGGGATTTATTAACTAGAAAATGGGAAGATTATAAGCGTTTGTTTGAATTAGTTAAATTGATTCTTGTGGATGAAATACATATGCTGAAAGAAAGGCGAGGGTCCGCATTAGAAGTTGTTCTCACGAGGATGAATTATATGTATGAAGATATAAGAATAGTAGCGGTTAGTGCTACAATTCCAAATATAGAAGACGTATCAGAATGGCTAAGATCCGGTAAAAAGTTTGATAATCGAGCAGCCAGAGTTCTTAAATTTGACGACTCATATAGACAAGTCCAATTGGAAAAACACGTCTATGGATATAACATGTCTGGCAAAAATGAATTTCAAAAAGATTCCGTATACAATTCCAAACTAGATGAAATATTAAATGAACACGGTAAAGGCAGACCAGTCTTGGTATTTTGTCCAACAAGAGCATCAACTGTGTCGACTGCGAAGTTTATTGCAACTCAATCTTATGCTAGGTCTGCTTCCAACTCAAAAAATATTGTTCAATTTAATGACAGTGTCCTTGTTGATTGCTATAGATCAGGTGTTGCGTTTCATCATGCTGGATTATCCCTTGAAGACAGACGATTGGTAGAAGAAGAATTCTTAAAGGGGAATATTATGGTTCTTTGTTCTACCACAACGTTGGCAGTTGGTGTGAATCTTCCAGCATATCTTGTTATAATCAAGGGAACACGTATGTGGTCTGCCTCGGAGACACAGGAATATTCTGATTTGGATATTCTCCAAATGATTGGTAGGGCAGGGAGACCTGACTTTGAATCGGAAGGATGCGGTATTATATTAACAGATATTTCAATGAAGTCCAAATACATAAATTTGGTTAATGGTACAGCGAACTTAGAAAGCTCATTACATTTAGATTTGATAGAGCATTTGACCGCCGAAATTTCTTTAAAAACTATTATTTCAACAAAGACAGCAGTGAAATGGCTGAAAAATACCTTTTTATACGTAAGGTTCTGTAGAAATCCTTCCAGATATTCACAAATACATAAATTTAAGAAACAAAGTTCAGGTAATGATTTTCAGTTATTTCAATTTTGCCAAATGTTATTAGATGAGTTAGAGGCCAACGAAATTATAGAGAAAATTTGTGACGAATATTGCTGCACAAGTTTTGGAATGGCTATGGCGCGTCATTATATATATTTTGATTCTATGAAAAGCTTCATTAAATCAAGAGACTCATTAGGCATTCAAGAAGTTTTGAATTTATTAGCGCGTTCCAAAGAGTTTGATGAGGTCCGAGTTAGGCATATTGAAAAGAGATTATACAAAGAAATCAACCTGTCACCTTTAATTAGGTATCCATATCTAACAGATAAAAAACAGAGTCGGATAATCGATAGTACTTATCAAAAGGTTTCATTGATAATACAGTATGAATTGGGTGGACTTGAATTTCCATCTTATCCAGGTTCTTTAAAACTTCACCAAAGTTTAGTTCAAGACAAAATGTCGATTTTTAGACATAGTTTTAGAATAATGAGATGCATGATTGATACTTTTATTGCGAAAAAAGATGGTATTTCTTTAAAGAATTCTTTATTTTTATTAAGATGCATCACGGGATCATGCTGGGAAGATTCTCCAATGGTTCTTCGACAACTTAAAAATGTGGGACTGATTGCTGTACGGAAATTTGTGAATCACGGTGTTTCAACATTAGACGACGTACTTGATTTAAATGAGTCCCAAGTTGGATATTACTTGAATATAAATCCAACTCAAAGTTTAAAGATATTAAAGGACGTCGAGGGAATTCCAAAGCTAGAAATAAATGTTAAAGCTGAAAAATTCGATTTCAAAGATGGAAAGATTCTAGTTTTTTTAAGAATAGAAATTGTGACACAATACGTCATGACTCGTTGGCATGGCCAAAGCTTAACAATTGATGTTCAAATTCTGAAAGATTCCGGAGAATTTGTAGATTTTAGGAGAATCAAGTTAATGCAACTCAAAGTAGCCAAAAGTTACAGAATATCCACATTTATAAAATCTCAAGATGACTCTATCAAATTTATAATGAATTGCCAAGAGATTGCAGGTATCGGGAAAGAATATATATTCAATGAAAATGACATACCTCGAGGGGTATTTCATGATCACAGATTTAATTCAAAATTTAACAAATCAAGAAACTGTGCTAGAAGTACAATTGAAGAAATAGAAAGAGATATCTTCTCGTCTTCGGATGACAGTCTAGTGTCTTATTTAAATGAAAACAAATCGAATATAAACAATTCTTCAGTTGTCGCAGCAAAGAATGAAACTGTTACTTTGCATGGAATAGAAGATATATATGAAAGGAGAAAAATAAAATTTAATGGAAACTATGAATGTAATCATGTTTGTAAAGATAAACTTGTATGCCGTCATTTGTGTTGCCGGGAAGGCATTCCAGTTAATTATATGAAGAAGAGAACAAATAATGATATTAAGCAAATAGACAGAACAACAATTTCAGCTAATACAAAAGAATCTAGAGTCAGTGATACCTGTAAGAAAGATGGTTCAACATCAGATTCATACAAATTCAAAACCAAATCAAATATTTTGAATTCTGAAATGGTCGATGAGGATACAAAATTGCAGATGAGAAATAGTACTCCCGAATTAGACTCTTCCTCTAGTAGTTCACAGGACCTAATTTCATGGAATAAAACCAATGACAATGAAAGGCACTGTATTCAGGATGTTAATATAAAGAAAGGAGGTGATATTTTTCACAATGAACCCTCTGATTTGTCTTCTGAAATTAATGAAAATTTAAGTAATAACAACCTTAATTTCTTAGGTTCTGACATCGAATTTGACTGAACATAAAAATATTATAACCTATATATGTTTTTCGATGAATATGCATTTTAGATCCTTCTACATATCCGTATATATATCTGTAGTAAGATGGTCGTAGTGTAACCTTAAGATCCATTTATTTTCTATTATTAATGTAATATTAGATCAACTTCTGTCATTATAATATGGTAAATTCAAATAGAGGTATAAATTATTTTATTGTACAGTTACAGACATAAGTTGAGATACAAACAATATACAAGCTTGGAACTAAACATTGAAGATAAAACTATCATTGAGAACAAAATGAAGTCATATGACATAACAGACTTATCGTCAATCAGAGTAGTTTTTAATATTGGCGTATAAGTGAAATAAAAATGCAAAGTGATATATTGTCGTGGTATCAAATCTGAGGGAAACATTTTGGCTTGACAAAGAAAACGTAATTTTATGTGTCAATTATATTTTAGAAATATTCAACATAACTCAAGTGAGTGCACTTAAACATATTTTCATTCACTAGTGAAGACACTAATATACCCATATTTAACTAATGTGACTGGAACGAACGCATGTGTTTGATCATAATGCTCTATTAAATCAAATACATTGACAAATTGAGTTTTCATACTACATGGACACGATTCAATTTTACACCTTAAATTACTCCAATAATTTCTTATTAACTGTTCATTATTAATCAACTCAAATGGGAATGGTTTGGTCATATTGTAATTATTAGTCTGATCAAACACAGCCATTGGGACATTGATGTTCGTTGGGAATACCACATCACTCTTAAGTTGATAGTTGTTTGAAAAACCAGATCCAGGTGATGTTTCACTCTTGATGTCACTTAAAGGTGAAGGTATAACTGAGTCAACATCGTTAAACAATAAATCTGGTACAGTATCAGAGGCAGACATTCTACTCACCAAATGGGCTTCTATCATATGGTTCATCAAGTCATCTTCTGGTTTAATCAATACATCACAGTCTTCGTACAGACATGGTATGTTGAAGGCATCATGTGCAGATGAAACACTTGAATTAGCCTCTGAAGATTCACCATTAACTAAACTTGAAGGGGTACCAATAGAGAATCCATTCGAAGCCTTATTAGGAGAAGCATCGCTAGATACATCAGAACCTTTTGAAATTTGATCAGCAGCATTATTAATAGCATTATCAGGAACATTGTTTCCACCGATTATGACATCGATATCCTTTTTAAGTTTTTTCTCATGTGTATTCAAATGTCTTTTCAGTTGTTGGGAGGTGATCAAACCTTTACCACAGATATGACAGGTTCTTGGCTTAACTTGTGAATGTGTCCATTGATGAACCCGCAGATGACAAGGTCTCATAAACCTTTTACCACAGTTCTCATAATCACAGAAATATGGCCTTTCATTAGTATGCGAATACCTATGTTGTTGTAATAGTGAGGGTCTATCGTAAACTTTGGTACAACCTTCATATGTGCACTTGTATCTCTTATCTCTTTTACCTTTCAATGATTTAGAACTCATTTTCCTTTCTTAATTACTAATATATATGGATATAAAACTATCTCTCGATCTTATCTATCTTTGGATTGAATACGTTTCTGAGTTTTAATTAACCAGTAGCTAAACTTCCTTTTGCCAAACGTAAACTATAGATTTTTGATATATACTTGTGCTTAGCATGAATGAAACAAGAACAAACAACCAAAAGCTTAGCCTAAAAGTACTTGAAATGCTTAACAACTAAAACTATTTAACTATAACCTATTTTAATATCTTCCAGCCGTCTATATTACAAATGGGCCATGTAATAAATTACATCAAGTTTCGCTGTGTTCGTTCTAGACTTCACGTGTAGAAAAGCGCAAGTAGTAGATTACGTATCCCAGTTCAGGACTCGTCAAGTAAACGGGGTTTCTCGAACCTGTCAAGTTAATATCAATGGGATGAAGTGGAATAAGGAACTTCAGCCAGTGGAATTAGTAGGATTTAAGATTTCTATCGAATGACACTCTTGCCTTCTTAATTGGTTCGTTAGATCTATATGGCTGGGTGAGAGGATGATTCAAATTCTATTGCATGTCAGTTATTTAATGGGGAATATTTTAAAAATGATGATTAATTAATTGATTGTAATAAAATAGAAATCGTACCTTTTTTGCAGAAGAAACGTCTTTCAAGAAGAGGCTACTTTTCCTCCTCGTAGGTAGAGTTTACGCTTGAGGAAATGATATGATTTCTAACGACACATCATTAATTATTTGGGATTATTATTAATGGTGCTATATCAAAGCACTTTTACTTCATGCGATACTATTACGTCCTGTAAGGGATGCTCTTGTATTGGTCTGAGTGTCCAAGGGTTGACTCTTCACTGTTGTTATTTGCAAGTTTTTACTTTCAACGTATTGGATCTTGATGAATACAATATATTGGTATACAAATTCATTGGTAATCTCGATGTAATCCTTAATTCCCCTATCCATGTCATCTTGCCTGAGTGATGTGTGTGAAGAAAAAAAGTTATCAGATATGGAATTGAAATTGTTTTATGATGAATATTTTATAATACTAAATTTATTAGTTCGATAAAAGTTAACTGGCCACATAATGCCAGTTATCTGTCTGAAGGACGTAAGATATGGTCAATTATATGACTTCTAACTAATTGCTTTATTGGAAAGTTATATATTTGGAATTTAGTGTAATAAATAATCAAATTAGTCTTGTACAGCTAGCCCTTTTAAGTTTGGTCCATATTCTATACTTAATTATCCCTGATTATATTCAAGTTTCACGTTGACTATTCTGTCAGGAACTAAATACATGCAACAACTATTACAATAACATGTATAATTTCAAAGTGTATTTGTAATTGAGACATAGGATGACTTAATTTGAAATCATTATACTTAAACCAAAACTTACTTGAAATAATTCAAATTTATACCTTGGGTGTTACCAAACACACAGAAAAGGATAACTCATATCTAAACGAGTCGTCTGTTCTTGAAGAGGCAAATATTTATTTAGACTGCAGCAATTATTGGGAGATACTCGTTATTGCTTACCCAAACACTTACTTAAGATGACTACGAAAAGTAGCAATGAGTTCAATTATATTTTAAGAACTAAATCATACATCTACCAATAATGGTTCAATTAAATGATTATATTTAAAAAAGATGTATCTGAGAATTGAATAAACAATATAAGTCTTCGATATTGATTTGACGCTAGTAGTTTTGATACTTGACAATTATGAATTAGTTTATGCTTGGAAGTTAAATGATTAATCAGCTTTACCGAATTGTTACATAGGGCTTGTATACTGGTGAGAAAATCCAGGTACAGTGTAGTGTATTGTTTAAAAGCATTTCCATTTCCCGACTTTTTATACCTATCTGATACTTGCTCATCTAGCTACCAATCTCAGAACAAGAACTTTTTATAACCTCTAAATAGGGGTGATATCTTGTAATCTGACAGCTCCAAAACTTAGTAACGATAAACTAAATATGTCAACTGATTATCTTGTTAGAACTGCCAACATCAAATGATTTATTCCGAGAGATTCATTGATTTTATGATGTCATTGGAAAAAAATAATTCCAATACTAACTCACTACAAAATTTCAGGGATTAGTGAAATAAAGCTCTCAAGATACTAAAGATCAACAGAGTTGGTATAACTCCCATTATGTACACATTATGTATCTTAAAATGGTAACGACAGCATGGAACATTGAAATAAATCCGAAGTTGTAGAAATTAGCTCGAATCAATCTTGGAAAAAGTAAATACTTTAATAAAGCAGAGACTATTGAACATGCCAGTGTTAATAAATTTACGCAGATTAGTTACATACTCATAACAAGATTATAAGCAAATAGTTCAATATTGTCCCCATCTATATTATATGGGTATGAAATCTCCAGTTCCAACATCAGTTGTTCTTCAAGTCAGTAATACTAATTAAATTAGAAAACTATCATTTATGTTTTAGTTTTTGAGAATTTTGTAAAAACACTCAATGTCATATTTTCTGTATTAAATTTATCTGGTTCTTATATTTTGTCCATTTTTAAATAATTTCTCCAATTCAATTGCGTCAGAGAATACCTGGATTCATATATATCTTTTATAATACAGCGATTACTTGAATGATCATAGGCCATTGGCTATTTTTTTATTTAATTTATCTTTAAATATATCACATTCCAAATCGTGAAATAAATCAAGACACTTGTTTATGCCAAACTTCGGAAATATCCAGCTGAAATTTTACAGTACTATTTTGTCAGCCTACCCTTGGCATCAGAAATAGTAATCTCAAATTTAAAATCAAAGAAAAAAACGTGAGATGCTAAAATTGCCACAGATAGATGATAAGCATCTGTCCTAAATACTTGACTTCATTTAAGTTTAAACTTGAAATTAAAATTAAAATTTTTCTAGGCAAGCCAGTAATCAACCTGTGGAGGTCAACTAAAAAACATTATTAGTTTATTTTATGTTATATCTATCGGTTGCACGACTATTGACATTGACCGAGAAATCCTTAAGAAACCCTAGCTGTAAGATGAAGTAAACAAATTCTAAATATATATTTCTATGCATCAAAATGTGTATACATCTCGCCTCTAACCATGATGTAGGTTCGAAACATGAAAACTTTCACAGTCTTTAAAAATCAAACGTTCCCATATTTTCTCATTCCAAATTGTAAAATGCCTTGTTCCAACAAAATATTTAGGATAAATGAGTTTATCCATCTCTATGAATCAATGGGCTAAACGATATATTTTATCCATCAAAATGACTTCTATCAAACGAACCGGAATTGACAGAATAATAATCGATAATCAATGGTCGAAAGATAGATAATATTTCGAGGTCTGTTTCTAACTACACCGGATCATCTATTCATCCTCAATCATTAGAGTAGAAGTTCTATTCTAATAATAAAAACATCCTTTAATCTTTTCGGTTTTTAATTAACCGAGTAACCCAAATACACTGCTGCATAACCTGCAGTTCATATCCCGAGTTGGTTAGGTAACCATTTACAATAAGAACCTTAGTACATAATTACTAACCTATACTAAGCCTGGATAATATAGGTAGATAGTGAGATATGAGGAACAACGAGTACTCCCGTCTGTGTTTAAATTTTACTTATTGATTCAGGCTTCAGCTACATCAAGTAATTAACATAGAGAGAGAAAAGAGGAAAAGAGCGTGTTTGCGTGTGTGTGTTTGCGTATCTCAATTGGTTTCCGACTATCCCACTTTTACCTTTATTTCTTAAATCTTGAACCGGAAGGTAGCACTTTATCGATTCTACATAATATACTCTACTATGCTGAGAATCATATGCAATAAGCTTCATCGGTAATGGATTTCTCCTGAACCACCGTTAGAAGTAAGTAATTATATTTTGACGTCTAAGCATCGCTTAGCTTAGCTTAGCTCAACGTTGAATTGTTTAACTTTCTACTACCCACTACTGCACTTGTTTCTTATCATTTAATGTGCTAAGATTTTTCTTTTTTTTCCAGTGCAACCTTTACAACAAAACAAACTCAGACTCTCTCCGTTCTTGAAGCCCTACTCACATTCGAGTTATCATCGTCGAATCATATTGCTAAGCTACATAGGCTTGAAGTAGTTGTTATTCCTCTCGTTAAGGTCCATTACATACAAACGTACTCACTCTGCTTTGTCTCTTTTAACTCAAATGTAATTTGATGAGAGAGAGAGATGAGATGGTTGGCCAGTTGAAGGTCTTCTTCTTCTTGCAGTTGTTCTTGTTCTTGCTCTTGCACTTGTCGTTGTTTCAATATCTGCGATATTTTCAAACCGTTCTTGGCCAAAAGTGTCTACTTCGTCGTAGGGGCCCAGATGTAAAGTAGGAAGGTCCAGACTTGTTAATAAACGAAACAACATCGAGGTTTTAGTTAAATTTCAAATTGTTGGATGTAAACCACGCAAAGCTACTAGTACTGCGTAAGAAAGTGTATAGAGTCTTGAAGTCTATCTATATTTGATGTTTTGAAAGATTAAATAAAATTTAAGTAATTGTCGTATTTTAGAGGTTTTATTTGAGAAGTAGTTTCTCCCTTGGGGGGGCAGGGGAGGAGGAAACCTGTGATAACCGGTATTACCAAACGGTTTAGTTTTACATGTGGTACCAGTTCGTGTCTCTGGTATCAGGATCAGGACGTAGTTTCAATTTTAATTTGATGTTTGGTAATTAAGAGGTACAGGCTAGACTCAAATTTTATTTATTTTGTTTGGCTCTTAGCTATGTTTAAATTGTGTAGTAGTACTAGTATCCTTTGTCTGACAATGCTATTGAGATATTTTCGTATGTACTTTTTTCTATGTTTTGTATATTTTGGTTTTCTGTCTGGGGTGAAGGTATATAAACACTGAAATAAAAAGTATATTATGAGATTCGTTTTTGGCATTACTGTTTTATTCGTATCTTATATTTTATAACTTAATTATTCTTGTTATATAGAAAAAAACCAGTTCTAATTTTAGTTATATTCTTTATAATTGATCAGAAGATTTTTATATAACCAAAAATGAGAACTTCATCAGTTGCAAAGTCAGCTACTTTAGTTGCCGCTTCTTTATCTTTGGCCAATGCTGCCTCATCTGTCACCACTACCACTTTAACTGCTAACAGTGCTAGTGTCACTCCATTTGTCGGTTCAGATATCACCACTACCTGGCCATCAACTATCTTCAGTGACTTGTACACCTCTGTTGACAACGAAACTTACGGTGGTTTCGAAGAAAGCAGACCATTGATCCATGCTACCCCACCAAAGGGTTGGATGAACGATCCAAACGGTCTATGGTACGATGCCAGTGAAGAACTTTACCACATGTACTACCAATACAGTCCAAATGAAACTTACTGGTCCTTGCCAATTGTCTGGGGTCACAAGACTTCTAAAAACTTGACTGTTTGGGATGACGCTGGTATTGCCATGGCTCCAACTGATAACACTACTGGTTTCTACTCTGGTTCCGTTGTTGTTGATTACAACAACACCTCTGGTTTCTTCAATTCTACTACTGATCCAAGACAAAGAGCTGTCGCTATCTTCACTTACAACACTCCAGAAGCTGAAGTTCAATGTGTCGCTTACTCTTTAGATGGTGGTTACACTTTCATCCAATACGAATCCAACCCAGTCTTGTCTAACAACTCTACTCAATTCAGAGATCCAAAGGTTATCTGGCATGAAGAATCCCAAAAGTGGATTATGACTATTGCCAAGACTCAAGAATACAAGGTTTCTATCTACTCTTCTTCTGACTTGAAGGACTGGACTTTAGAATCTGAAGTTGAAAAGGTTGGTGTTTTGGGTTACCAATATGAATGCCCAGGTTTGGCTAGAATTTCCTTACCAAACGTCACTTTAGCTTCTGGTTCCTCCAACATGACTGTCCCATACCCATCTACTTATTCTAACGGTACCGCCACTCCAACTGATGCTTGGGTTATGTTCATCTCTGTCAACCCAGGTGCTCCAAACGGTGGTTCTTTTGTCCAATACTTCATTGGTGACTTCAACGGTACTACTTTCACTCCATTCACTGAACAAACCCAAACTTTGGATGATGGTGAAGATTACTACGCTTTACAAACTTTCTTCAACTCTGCTGACAACTCTACCTTAGGTGTTGCTTGGGCTTCCAACTGGAAATACGCTCAAAGTGTCGACACTTACCCATGGAAGTCATCTATGTCTTTAGTTAGAAAGTTCACTTTGGACTACTTCCAAGCTAACCCAGAATCCAAGATCTTAAGTTTGAAATCTGAACCTTGTGTTGATTACGATGTCTTTGACTTGAATGCTGGTACTTTGTACACTTTGAACAACGCTACCGACGACTTCATGCATGCTAAGATTACCACCAACTCTTCTCAAGGTTTGTTAGAATTCAACATGACCTGGTCTGTCAATGCTTCTGCTTATGACAATTCCGAAGCTGCTGATTTATCCTTATACTTAAGAGGTAACCAATTTGATGATGAATACTTGTGGTTAGGTTACATTGCTAATGCTGGTGCCTTCTACTTGGACCGTGGTAACACTGGTAGTCCATTCACAGCTACCTGTCCATTATTCAACACTAGAACTGCTGTCAATGTTCAACCATGCGAATATGTCTCTGACGAAATCACTACCTACAAGGTCCGTGGTATTGTTGACAGAAACATCATTGAATTATATTTCAACGATGGTGCTCAAGTTTCTACCAACACTTTCTTCTTCATGGATGGTGATTACATTGAAACTTGTGAATTAAAGGTTAACAAGATGGGTGTTTTCAGCATCGATGAATTCTCCTTCAGACAATTAGCCTTGAAGAAATAGATACATTAAGATACCCTTTAATTATAGTATTTCTCCTAATAAAACAATCAAGTTAAATTTAGTTCTTTTGTAAATGATCGGTATACGTATATAAACCGTTCTTTGTATATTTTTATCCAAATTAATGAAACAGTCATCTCTATTGTAACGATTATTAGTGTTTATTATATATGAGGTTATTTGAATTTATCCCGGTAAACCGTTTTTGATTAAGGATTATGAATGCACTAGCAGATACGCAAGTTAGTTTGCAAAAGTATCTAGTTTGCAATATTCACCTATTCATTATAATTATCATCATTCCATCAACTGTGATCAAAGCTGGCATATTTTTATAAGTATTTGTGGCCTTCGCAAATATTAGTTATGCTCAATTATATAAATATCAGTACTTTATCAATTAGTTCTATTATTATTTTTAGAATATATAACTTAATAAGTCTACTAGAAAAGGTATGGGACTATAGTCAAAGATTTTATACACTTGGTACTTATACTTAATGGTGAGGAATTTGATATATTAATTCATTCCTATCTATCAAAAATCATGATAATTGTTTTTGACAATAATGAGAACATGTTTCGACTTGAAAATCAAATCTTTAGCTCTTGTACGATTTTAATATTTCCCAATTAAATATCTTCATTAGTTTAAACCCATATTACAGTCCTAATAGATTTCATTCTATTCAGACTTCACCATCGATTTGGCATCATCCATCTATACATTTCTAATGTCTTAGTTTGTTTTGTCGATGTGTATCTTTTTCGACTATTAAATATTACGTCATTCCTTTTCTCTCCCCCATGGCAGCCCGTGATAAAATTTAAAATATAAAATGGCAACCAAAATGTGTTTAATAAGGAGGCATCTTATAAGAAGTTTTATGTTTAATTCAATCAGAAAAGATACCTACCATTGGATCACCAAATCCCAAAGGATAACATTTATAATGTGGAATACCATGACGAAAAAAAAAAGTCAATTTAATGAAGCAAACATGAAGAAACAGCCTAAAGATACTTTCCAAGAACCAGATCTCGAAAATAATATGGTTCCTATGAATGATAAAGAAAAAGCCAATTCGATGAAAATTCCCGAGAAAGAAGTCCAAGTTCTGATTATCTGCAGCATAATTTCCTTTGGTCTTTCGTGGGGCATGGCATTGAACTTTATTATCGATGTGTATTTTTATTCAGCTAAAGTACAATATGCATTCGGAAACAGTGTTCAACTAGCTCTGATAGCAGCTTTTTCCATACTTATCAACCTTATAACCATAACAAGTTGGCTTAGATTAATTAAAAAAATAGGTAAAATTAAATTGCCTAAGTTATTAAAAGTATTAAGTAATATAGATGCGTCTGTAGTCAATTGGACATGTGGTATTTTCGCAACATTATTATATATTATTCTCAGTGCTTTCGTGCAAATTAAAGGTCGTATCAATATATTTCAATTCATATTAGCAAGTGTATTGTACCACCTAGGGGTTTCTGAACAATTTATAGACAGCAAGTTATTTCCTGATGTACCAGAATACGTTACTAAGTATATCTAATATAGCCAAGGTTATAATAATAAAGAAATATTATTTGATTGTAATTACATTTAATCACTATTGAAAATTAACGGCTCCTTTTCTTTTACTATATATTAGTATATATTACAAGTTGAAATTCGTGTTTTATTGTAATTATCTGAAGATCAAAAGTGGGTGATTTTAACAGTTCATATCAAATTGCCCATTTGATCTCTAAAAAAAAGTAATAAATTCGCTGAAAAATATAGGTATTTAATTGTTGATTCAAACTAAATTAGACAATTTTGATAAGTACTACTATTATAAATAGATATTGTAAATCAGAATGACAGTATAACCCTGATATAATAATCATTTTTCTATTTACCTTGAAAAATTAAACGATTCCTACAGGATCTCAATATTTTGTTTTTTTATTTCCTTGACTGGCACAGGATATAAAAATATTCAGAAAGAATCTCTCTAGTTCACATCTCGGATAGAACTTGATTATTTAATGTAACGTTGTAGACTATTATATATAATAAGTATCTAATGTCCTCAAAATTCTATCTTATTATGGACTTGTCATATTACTTTTATTAGTTGCTTATTAGAGGCTTAATATACAATAGACTATTTCAGTGATGGATAATGCATTATGTGAGATTATATCCTCTTTTATATTATTAGCTTCTTATAAGTAAGTTGAATAGTTAGAAGCGCGACATTTTTCTTGTCCAAAAGGTCAAAAGATTAGATGATTAATAAGCAATCTCTATAAACCAACACTGTTGTATCTCTATTGTTGCCGGTCCATAGAGTAGTTCTTCTATTGACTAGTACTAATCTACCCTTGACAGGTGTGACCATTGACACACGTGACACAAGGTACTACAGCTGAGGTCTCCGCGTTTCCATAGATCTCGATAATATTCTGACGTCATAAAATATGTCCAGAAAATGTTGTAATCAAAAGCGGTGAAACAAGATCCTTAAATGGACTTGTTGCTAGGAAACACTATTTAAAGTTAATGCTTTTGTTAATTGATAAAATATTAACCTACGATGCTAAGTGATCTTGACTACCTAGGGATACTTCAATTTAAATTATAGAAGATTCAAAGATGGAACCAGAGAGTTTCAAAGCATTCAAAGAGGTGAAAACCAAAGATGTTACAGACCAACCTAACTCCTGTAATAAAATTGAAGTTATAGTTAATTTATTCATGATGGCCATCGTTTGTATGACCTTTCCTATGGGTAATGAACGAAATACACAATTCTCCATAGATTTAATAATTATTTTTATTTTAAAATTAGCGATGAACTGTACAGGTTGGTTCTCCATTGATCAATTAGCGAGGATAATGGTAGAATTAGATACAATTACATGTCAGTATGCACTTTATCACTAATTTTCTTTTGCTTAGTTTTTGATTGTATAATATTATACTTCAAATTTATTTAAATTCTTCCAAAGAGTATGAAAGGAAGAAGCTAATTTAACTTTTCATACCAATGAACCAGTATATTTTTAAGGGACTGTAATTTGATAATTTTACGATACCATCTCAAATTAAGGAAATAACTAGAAGTTAATTATTTCAAAATTATTAATTGGAGAGGAAATTTGTTGCATTCAAGAGCAACCAACGGGAGATCAAAGTTTGGGGAACATATATAATTCCATATGGTAGTGACCTAAAAAGTTTAAACAATATTATAAACGTGTGTAAAACAACAATTTTTTTAAATTAATATACAGTTTTCTGGAAGAATTAACTAATATTATTCGTATTGAACCAAATACTACAAAAAGAAAGTACATTGACATCTATCTTTTAACTGTATAGTTACAACAGAGTACTAACAGTACTCCTCCAAGTAGCTATTCGTTACGGTACATGCGTTATTCTTTTTCATCATATTGGTTTAATAAGATTAATTCAAAATGAAATCCACATCAATTAATATTAGATAATTACAGATACCATATTTTTTGTCATAAAGTATGGACGATATTCAACTATTTTGTTGTTTAAGCTAGAAATGATATTTATCACAATAGAAATAATGGATTAATATATGAAACTAATATACAAAGTAATGTAAATAATACACTATAAAAAAGGGGAAATATTTTCCTAATATTACAAATACTAGAGTAATATTCACTCGACCTTAGATTAATATGCCCTAATCTTTAATGGTAATATAAATATTGAATTATATCATAGACATATTACAAAATGGTAGAATAAAATTGGAAGGGAATAGAATGCAGTAAAATTAAGTTTAAAAATAAGCCTTAATCATATCTTCGACTAAGTCATAGAACTTCAAGTCAGACCCATTGGTCAATCGAACCTTTATATCATTTCTAGGACTACGGACTTCACCAAATGGTACAACATAAGCACCTTGATCATTAGTAGTTAAATCAGGAGATAATGCCGCATATAACTCTGAGTATGTACCGAAGATAACATCCTTACAAACAGCTCTGATAAGGAATCCTGAAATAGCCCCATAGTCTCTGGTTAAGTCTGATTTTAAATTACCTGGATAACAAGAGACTGATACAAAGTTTATTTCATTAACAATTTTTTGATTCTTGGTAGCCCAGGCTTTATCTTGGAGAATGTTTGCAGCTTTTTATTGGGCATATAATGTCCAACTTGATGGTCTCTTGTTCATTGGAGTATTAACAAAACCAGGATCTTCCCAATTAATACCATATTGAGGGAAGGAAAATATATGGTTGACAGAACTAACCCAGACAATTCTTTTCAAGTAGTTGGAATCTTTTTTCAAGAACAATGGATCTAAGAAGTGTTGTAACAATTGTGGACCCATTACATTGGTTGAAAACATTGCTTCGACTCCTTGTTTTGAAGTACCGGTGTTAGTACTCGACATTAAACCAGCATTATGAATAATAATATTTAATGGCTTATCACCTAAAATTTCTTCCAACTGTTTTAGCAGCAGATTTAATACTAGTCATATCTAACAAATCACATCCACCTGCGACAGAGATTGATCCCTTGGAATTTTTGATTTCTTGCATGACCTTTTCACGAGCTTCTAAACCTTTTGATTCAGTTCTAACAATACTAATCACATTACAATTCTTTGAGTATAACAATTTCATGACGAAATAACCAATACCAGTGTTACAGCCAATGACAATTGCAGTTCTACCAGTCAAATCAGGATATTGTTCTGGTAAAAATTTTGGTTTATTTGGACTATTACCATAGTACATATCACATAAATTTTGAGTTCTACTGATTGATGGAGCTGGTTCAGTCATTTTTGTTAATTCTGTATAATTGCATTTTATTTATTTTTTATTTAAGTTTCTGCTTGGGCACTTGTTTGATATTATGGGATATATTTAATACTATAATATAATATATTTAAATTGAAATGGATTGAATTGATTCAAAATGAAACTTTTTTTAATTGATGAAAATTGATGTCTATTTATATGCCATTGGGAATTGAAAAAATAATGAAATTTTAATTCAACTTTAATGAAAGGCTAAGCAAATACGACGAGGTGACTACTATGAACTACATTGTTACGCTGCACTTTAAGTCATCGATCTTTCGATATCGACAATGAGGTACGAACGTTGCCGTTTCTTTTCGGTTTCCTTCAACTTCAAAAACAGGATCTAAAACGCATTTTAACATTCCATGGGAAGCGGAAGGAATGTGTTGCTCATCGCTCGTCTCGATTTTTTCAAAGATACTGTATATCGTACTTGACGACAAACCTTTATGATGGACTCCCCTGAATGGAGGGGCCGGGGAATAGCTATTTACCCAGAACCAGATGTAGAGTGGTTCGAAATTGGATCCGTCTTACATCCTGCTTTGGGAGATTGGAACAAACGCACTCGTGATACGGGAAATTGTCTTGATTTTAATCACCATGTGAATATTTAAGTTTCTGTTTTTACATCTAATTCGAAATGAAATGTCCAGGGCTTGGCGTTATCGAATTTGGTTAAACGCTGTTCTCATCTCGAAATGACAAGATATATGCAAGTTCTAGAAACAGTGATTTTACGTCATATCTGATAAAGGATGCGAAGCATTCCAAAGATCAATTGAAGGCTTAATGCTGAATATGCCATTATAGAACAAATAAAAGAAGGATTACTATTAGGATGGAAAGACAATGTGATGACTAAATAAATGCTATACCCTACACCAGATATTTTGCTTCTATATTGATGAATTCAGGAGAATAACTTTTGAATATCATCGAATAAAGTAACCAACATTATATATTGAAAACGTTACCGATTTATTAGATGCTTATCGGTATTTGAAATAATTACTTTTTGATTTCTGACAATAACAACATATTTTGCTATTACTGCTATATTCTTTACAGAGCACTTAGTAAATACCTTAGTTATCGAAATTTAGCTGGTTTACGTCAAATAAGTCCCGGTATTACTTTTATTTTAACCGTCAATATTGTGGATACTCGCACACGTTAATAGATATAAATAGTTTCCAATTGTACTTACTATTTATCTTTGTCAAAATCAACAATAGAAATACGTATTATTGGGAGTGATCCTGATTCGATAGTTTTTATTGAACTACGTTGACAATTGTTGAACTTCCTAAATGCATTCCAGGGCATCTCTCCTCTCTTATGTTGGCGTGTTCATCCTTCCTTAATCGCACTAAACTACTTCACTACTAAAAAGTTAGCATATACAAAGACGAATAGAAGCTATGATTGTGCAAACATGACCAATAAATCATATCCACACTCATAACTACAACCAGGCGGTTATTCCTTTTGTGAAAGGGAGAAGCGCCCACTTGTCATATATACCTAAAAGCATATATTTTTACACTTTATTTACATTCCTAGTTATTACTGCTGTTACTTTAAAGGATACCTGTTATGCATTCCAGAGGTCTAACGAATATTTAAATAGGTTAGCAAGTCCAGGTTTGTCTCTGATTATAAAACTTTCGATAGATCCTAGTATAATTACCAA